TTAAAGAGCAAATGCTTTGGTTGACAAATCTATTTCATTATTTTATATTTGTGGGATACTTATTATTTACTGTATCTGTATTTACTCATCTGAGCATATGACAGCAGCCAAATTATGTAATTTATTATCTTTAACATTTCTGTAGTTTGTAATATTTTAGAATATGTGTCCCTTACAGATATTTCTTTCATTTACTCAATGTTTTATCCATATGTTTTTGGAATGAAGCTTGGCAACTATTTAGCGCATCACAAAATTCAGATGACTCCCATACCACAATGTAAGAATAAAACGAAAGTACAATTTAAAATCAAAATGGAACCAACATGGATAGTTTAGGTAGGCCATATGGTTCATTAGGGGCACCATTATGTCCCATGGACAGCAGTATGTCCCATGACCTACTTCCCTTGGTACTTATTACTTTATATTGAAATTTTGAAGAGCATCAAAAGGGACATAAATATGGTACATGTTTTTGATTATTGTATTTAAGCACATTTGATTTTAGGTATGCCTGTGTATCTTTAAACAGCGGGGGGGGGGAGTAGGTGATAGAGAGCATTTGTAATGGCTAGAAACAGTGACACTATTATCTCATTCACAATGAAAACAACTTGCATAGCTTTTAAGAATTGTTGATTTTGAACTACTGGACTTTAAGTGTTGCAGGAAGTTATTATGAACCCTGATGGTGTAGTGGTTAGAATGTAGTATTGTAGCCTGACTCTGCCCACAGCCTGAAGTTTGAACCTGATGGGGCTGAAAGTTGACTCGGCCTTCCATCTTTCCAAGGTCAGTAAAATGAGAACCCAGATTGTTGGGGGCAATATGCCAACATTATAAACTGCCCCAAGAGTGCTGTAAAGCACTAAGGGGCAGTATATAAGTCTAAGTGCTATTGATACTTTATTGCTATTATATATAGTATATACAGAAATGATACTAAACTGAAGAATGATTTTTTAAAAAAATAAATATTTTACAGTAGGCATTTGTTAGAACATAATTGGGTTGGATGCACATACTGTATATATGGATTCACCTTCTGCTGTTTATACCTGTAATTATACAGAGTGCATTCCTCATCTTAAAGCCTGGGCCCAAAATTTGAGAACATAGAAGGGAATTAGGGTACCACAGATTTTCAAGGCAGGAACTAATTCTTATTCACATCCACTTATGATATTGATCCAGACTATTAGGTCAAACTGTTTCTATGCACTGTATTAGCCATTATGATACAGACCTAAAACACCAATCACAGAAAAGTGATTGGGAGAGCGAGCTTTTGTGTGTTAATAGTTTGGCTGGATGTCATATTTTGTCTGTTGGTAATGAAAGAAATGTGAAAGGTCATTAACTTACATGATTTGTTCTTGTGAATTATTGATATCTTTTTGGAACAATATTTTAATGTATATATGTTTTTAATTAGAGGGAAAATAGGAGGGAGGAATACTATATTAGATAAGTTTGTGTGTGTGTGTGTGAGAGAGAGAGAGAGAGAGATTGTAGATGGATGGGATAAAAATGTAATAATCTCTTAATATTACAGATGTTAATTTTATGTGGAATACTCTTAGTTTCTTTTGGGTTGTTAGTCTAAAACTAGTGTTATACATGCACCTGTACGTGAGATAAAAAACACTTTGAAAACAGAATCTTGGACTGACAGTATTTTGATCTGATGCAGCTTTTTTTTCTCTAGATATTAAGGTTTATTTTCCTGCAAGTGTCGTTAGTTTCCCTACTGTAAGAGCCAATTGATATTGTTTTGAAGGGTGATAGATCCTTTTTTTTTTTTTTTTTTGGCAAATTGCTTCATGGAGGTAAATCTGGTCAATCATATAATTAATTATGACAAGTTCTATAATTTAGAGTTAGTTTTAATTTTAAATGTTCGAAATCATGGCACGCTGAAGTTTTCAAGATCATTGCTTTTGTGATCATACAACAGAATAAATATTTGACTATGATTTGGATTGTAAACATCAATAAACATTTAATTTGGTTTATGTAATTATCATAAATACCTTCAATTTTGAAACTGTATCCTAGATTTTAAAAAACCTATATTTTTGTACTTGTTGAAACCAATGAATTCATTATAATGATGAGTTCATAGCTAAAGGATATGTCCTGTTAAATTCTTGGTGAAATCTTTCTTACAAGGAAGGAATATTGTATCTCAGTTCATTATCTATATCTAAATCTATATCTTTTGGATCTGACTGAAATAAAAATAAAATAGATTAAATCTATATTTATGTCTCTTGTTCTTACAACATCTGAAATTATAAATTAAGCAGTTGCATAATTAGTATCCTCTACTTACGAGGCAAAAGTTAAAATGGAGATTTTGGAATTAAGAATATTGGCTAGGATTGATGATGTTTTTTTAAAAAATTCTTTTAAATATTTTTATAGCACTTCTCATGCCAAGCATCTGCCAGCTTTCTGTGCATTAAAATACTGTGTTTGCAATAAAACTCATAAAACCATTAAAAAATTTATACTTTGTAAAGTATATAAAGCTATTATTGTAGCAGTGTTATTAGAAGGCATCAAATGCCAGGGTAAATGTTTTTATCGTTTAAAAAATATCCCCAAATAATATTAGGTAGGTTCAGGACTTCTGGGGAAGAAACAGCAAAACGAAGAGAGAACGGAGCCAATGACTATGGCAAAATGAAGAGCTGGTGAGTGAACCAGCTCTTCAGAATATTTTTACAGTCGGGGAGATGACTTGGGATTGCACAAAAGTGTGCCTTATGAGGAGCCCTTAGGGCAGTGGTCTTCAGAAGGTTTATACCTCTGAGAGATAAGAGAAGGTTATCTTGATCCAAACCAAGGCCTGTGCCTTTATGGACCTAGGATTTTCATACTTCCTATTCTAATAACTTTATGAAATTGTTAACTGCTTTTCAGATTTTAGGAACCTTTGAAATGAGAAGAGTTATAGCCTTGAATGAGTTTCCTTTAATTCTTAGAGAAAGAAACTTTAAATATAAGTTTAAGGACTTTAAAAAAATTCTCTCTTTTTTGGAATAAACTGCAAAAGAGCGATCAATTTTGAAAAATTACAAATGGACTAAGTTGACATGGATTTGAAATAAAACTTTGGAATTAATTATATGAGTGCTTCTCATGGGGAAAAAGCTATTGTTTTGAATTCTTTAAAAAAAAGATGGAACTTTCAAAGTTAGATGCACGCAGGGGAACTAAAGATAAGTAAAGATTACAATAAAGGACGAGAATATTTAAATTTGGTTTACTAAAACAGAATGGAGCAAAATACTTCAACGTTGGATGTATTGTGAGATATTGGAAATAATGGACCCAGAAGTTAATTTCAAGAGTATTTGCCATTGCAAACAAACAGTGTTTTAAAAAAAGTCATGAAAGAAAAAGTTTTACTGGACAAGTAAATGACAGGTTATAACTATGATATAGGAAAGATTCTGCAGTGGATATACAAACCAGGTGATATCTTAAAAATTAAAAATTAATAACAAACCTAAAGAGTGATCTAGATAACTTTCCAAAATTGGATTTCCAATAGAGACTAGTTATAGTTTTGAAGAGTTTTGTGAGAAAGCATATAGAAAAAATAAAAATAAGTCAAGTTCGAAGACATTAAAGATCAAAATTGTAAAAAAGTAAAACAAAGGAATATAAAGCAGTTTATTTGATCAAGCTTGAAATAGATACGTTATCTCTGGTAACTGTTAAGGGACTTTGGCTCATCAGGACTGAACAACCAGGTTTTAAGGATTTCTTTACAGATAAGGGATGAAATATAGTAAGAAGAGATCTCCTGTTTTACTTTAAGATAAAGTGATAAGTTACTAAAATGTTTATATTTGTGATAAAGGGAGAATTTCTTTTCTTTTTCTTTCTTTTCTATTCTTTATATTTCTTAATTTTTGGCACTTTCTATTTTTTCTTTTTATTCTTTTTCTTAGTTTGCATTTTTTCTTTTTAATTGAAATGTTTAATAAAATTATAATTAAAAAATAATAACAATAGCTTGGTCCACTAGGCTGTTTACAATTCTTTATGTGTTTTATTAAGTTGTTTCTTATAATGAGCCGTGGTGGTACAGTGGTTAGAATGCAGTATTGTAGGCTAATTCACTGTTCACTTCCAGGAGTTCGATCTTGACTGGCTGAAGGTTGACTCAGCCTTCCATCCTTCCGAGGTCGGTAAAATGAGGGCTTAGATTGTTGGGGGCTATATACTGACTCTGGAAACTGCTCAGAGTGGGCTGTAAAGCACTGTAAAGTGATATACAAGTCTAAATGCTATTGCTATTCATAATACTTGGTTTCCGGCTTTTAAAAAAAATCAGATTCCTTGATAAATTAGCAGTTTTTATATCAGTAAAGTTGGAAATTAATTTTAATTGTTATATTGAATCATTCTGCGTAATGATCAAGGTAGTTTTTTTATATCTTGAAAATATACACATGGATATGATTTATTGGGTTAGGGATTTTCTGTTTCCACTGTGAGTTGTATTGTGTTGGGGGGTGTGCACTGAGGGAGCTCCACCAATCCCATTGTACATATGTTGTGCAGTGACAATAAAGGTTATTATTATTATAATGTTAAGGTCTTTATTCTAGCAGTGATAGGTAAATTTAACTTTTGGATAATTTCCATTAAACTCAGTGGGGCTTACTTCTGAGTAAGTATGCATGTTCTATCTTCTTTGCATTATGTTTTGACAGTCTCTGTGAATACAGACTTTTCCCAGGCACTCAATTGGATTAGTATCCAAGATGGTGAAGAATCCTAGTCAACTGAGAAGTTTCAAACTGTGACATTTTCCTGGCTTCTAAAGGGGTTTTGTGAATTTTGGAATCATGTAAAACTTGTTATTAAATAATATCGAACAGATGATTTTTTTAAAAAAAAAAATCTGATAATGCAGTTTTTAGATAAAAAAATATGAAATTGAATTAAAGATATAACCTTCCTGGTTTATTTTACAGGGAATCCACCATGAATGAACCAGCTTGTAGTGGAAATGGGCAAGATTTTGATGTATTTAGTGTAATGGACTGGAAGGATGGAATTGGTACCTTGCCTGGAAGTGATTTGAAGGTACTGTAATTGCAGAGATGTACAATGCTTTATTAAAAGGTGTGATTATTTTAATTAGAGAACAAAAAAGTATGTTTAATTGTAAAATATTACGTAACAGTAAAATAACAGTAAAGGGAACAGTGTATAATATAAAAAAAGCAAACAAATCATCTAGTAAAAACAAGAACAGCATATTAAACTTAAGTCTTAACTTTAGCATCTTAATTTCAAAGTGTTAAAAGTAACAAGCTTTGGAAAGAAACTCGTCTGATAGTTGGACTATCCCCACACAACTACAACTGTCCCAGCATATCTACTGCAGCATCCTGGACTCATATGATCTCCATTTGCAACTTTCCCAGTCTGCTTCCGACAAGCAAAGTCAAATGCGGGAAGCTAGATTTGCATCATGACCATCACTTAACAATTGCAGTGATTTGCTAACTAACTGTGGCAAAAGTCATAAAATTGGGTGTGATGATTCATCTAATAACTGTCTTGCTTAGCCATGGAAATTCTGTGGTTGTAAGTTAAGGACTCCCTGTAAGGATGTCACGTTCAAAACAAATTGAACACCATTTCTTATTCCTTCAAATCATCACAGTTTCTCAACTGTGAATGATTTTCAGCTTATATAGTTGAGTTTGCTTCCTGGAGTTTTATTAAGATGTTGCATAATATGGAGCACAAAGAAGGCTCTGTGACTTTCTCATCCATTGGACAATACAAAAGCTGCATGAATTCCTAATTCTTGACCCTTGTAGCTGATCTCAAAAGATAGCATGGATTCTTTAAAAAAAAAAAAAAACTTTTATGAAATTTCTATACATATTAGTTAAGGATATTGAAAACTGGTAGAATTGAGGCAAATTGCCCATGAGGTATCCCTTCCTTCTTGCCATTTATTTTATATAATTTAGCTGCTTTAAGTGCTCTCTGTTTAGAAAGCATTATATGAGATTAATTAAGATATTTTCATCAACAGCATCATCTTTCAATCATATCACACAGAAATTTGTGTGATATTAGTCAGCACTTCAATAAAGGAGGTTAAAATCTGGAAGATACTGTTTTGAAAATTTTTGATAGCTTCTTTGTGTGTGAATTTTCTCCCTTTCCTCCAGTGATGGAAGATGATTTTGATTTGGTACTGGCTTCAGGTTGTTCTTTCTCCTTCCTCTAATTATATAATTGTGCTAGTACTTCTGATACAAAAATGAATATTCCTCTCTTTGATTTCTCCATTTTATGCTTTAGAAGCATTTCTAGTATGTTAAAATAAAATCAAAATTGTATCTTTCTAATAAATTCCTATAATAAAATATACATTGGAAAGTGCACATCTATGCATCTATGAACCACCTCATAGAAAGTTTGCTGGCCCAGTAACATGAGCATGATTTTTTAAGATTGAATTGCAATTATATGCAAGCTCCAACCAAACCATAAAGACATTCATTGTTATTTCATGGATTAAGGAACTGTTATATGAATGAAAATATTGAACAGGTACTCATTGGGAAAATGATGATAAATGGGATTGTAAAATGACATGGTTGTAAAACACAATGTCACATGACTGCTGACTTTTGACAGCAATTCTGAAGTTCCAGTTGCAGTCGTTAGGTGAATCCTCCATGGTCATCAGATGTGATGTCACGGGATTGCTATTTGCAGTCTCCTGCCAGCTTTCTAACTGATTTTGTTCATTGGAAGATGGCAGTAAAGGTTACAGATGGTGATCATGTGACCATGGGACACTTGCAACCCTTGAAAATGAAAGCTAGTTGCCAAGGACTTGAATCACAGTCACATGACTGCAACATTGAGTCATGTGGCTGCAACATTGAGGATTGGCCATAGATCTCATTTAGTGTCATCATAATTTCTAATGGTTGCTGAACAAATGATAGTTAACTGAGGGCTAAACCCTAGAAGTCACATCTCTGTATGCTGATATAAAGAATCATCTCCAATAAACACTGCAAAGAGAGTAACTTGTCAAATGTATCTTTTGATCACAAACAGTAATAAAGAAATACATTTGTTTCATATTTATCTGGGGGTATATACAAAGATATAGTGCTTAAAACAATTCCAGTGAATAGCTGGATAGAGATTTGATTCCAAATTGTCTCCTCAGCTCTAATTCTACTTCTAGACTGCTGTACAACATTTCCATGCTCAGCGTTCAGAATGTTTAATTGAGGGAAATGAAATGTGTCCTATTAAGTTTTCAAGGATCATGCTGTTTTGCCTCTGGTGCTTTCATCTTCTCTCCTTCCATTTCTTGTTCTCTTCTTTCTAAGCTGAAACTTAAGTTTAGTGTTAGTCCTTTTGAATTTCTGAACAAATAAAGAGAGGATGTTTCACATCTATGTTTTATTCTTTTAAGTAAGATGTAGGTGTGTGTTTGAGAAAAAAGCTTGGGCTCACCAGCTTCTTCCTGTTCAGAAGGGGCACATTTTAAAGACAGAATTTAACTTTCTGTTCTTTGTTGCCTTCCTTGTGCTGAGGAAATGACTTCTTCCTTCTATCTGCTTGCTTACATTTTGGAAAGGGGCTTTCTAACTAAAATGACTGGGGGTTTCCATTGGAAAAGGGATCAATGCAGCTATAATGCCAGAAGATTTTGTTATTAATTTATTATTTCTCCAAGTTGTTTTAAAACGTGACCAAGTCTAAATGTAGACCAAATGCACATTTTTTTTCTCGGAACACCCCTCCCACACATTCAATGCATAGAAAATATCTTACTTAAGCATTAGAATTTTTTGATTTTTCTACAGCACCTACAGTTTGTCATTGCTCATTCTTCTCTGGCTCCAGAATTTGTATTCAACTTCTTCTTCCCACCTAAATACACTTCGTACTTTACTCATACTGTACTAATCATGCACAACGCCTCTCTTATATTAATATCAGGTTTCTTTAACTAGGAAGATGTGGGAGAAACTCTCCTGCTTTCGAATAACAATAGTTTGGGAAAATCTTATTAGTAATGATATTAGATGAAAGATGTTACCCCTTGTTCAGCGGTAAAGGTATCATTACTTACAATACTCAAGGAAGTGGATCAATTTTATTTGGATTGCCCCACATTGCAAAATGCCAGGGCAGTTTTCAGGATAGAACTTTAAAAATGAATAGTTTGGAGAGGATCTTTTTTTTTTAAAGCTTTCTATCAAAGCTAGAGGCTCTTTTATTTTGAATATTTTATTTATACATTTTTATAAACAAAAAATTCCAATGTCTACATGAACGTTGTGTTGTCTGAGTACAGTTAATTTTGAGAAATAGTAATAATAGTAACAATCTTCATAACAGTCACATATTTGCTTATCCATTTCAATAAACCTTCCTTATATAATTAATCATTCTCTTCTGTTTCTGTTAGTTAGCCATTGATAAAATGAATCCCATGTTTAAAAATATTCTGTTTTTTCCTTCTCCTTAATTTTAAGTGTTAATCTATCCATTTCTACACATGCTAGTATTTTTTTTAAAATTACACTTTCTTCTGTAGTTTGGAGAGGATCTTAAGGCAATTCTATGAACTTTAAATCCTTAACTTGATTCACAACAGATTGCTTTTGATAATTGAAATAGTGAATTAAGATTTGTATTAAGTGAGAAGGCTTAGAATCACACCAACAACAATCCTAGTTGGTATATGCAAATTCTTCCTAACCACAAAAGAAAAGAGATCAAGCAGAGGGTCATTCCAGAAAAAATATTTATTAGTAGTACATTAAAATACAGGTCCCTTGAATTATCTAAAGCAATTCACACTGCACTATTGTTTTTCTTATTTTTAGTATAAAAGGGTGGATTATTTTTAGAAAGCAATTTCATACATGAGCCATTTTTTACAAGTGAAGACTGCCTGCAAGAAAATTGGTCTTTCATTCATTATTCAGATTTGTTTCAAACATTGTATGTTACAAAATATTTCAACATCCAAACTTGTTTACTAAAACATTCAGACAAAATGAAATAAAAATGCTGCAGCAGCCTGGCATTTAATGCAATAAGTAACTTTCATCTGCCGTGGAGTTTCAAGGCTTGGGACTTTTCCATTTGTCAGGCAAAGCAGTATGTTCAAATCAGAAACACTTCAGCATATTAAAATCGCTGTAAACTGTGTAGAGAACTTAAAAGTTGATACCTTCCAAACTGAAGGGCATATATAAAAGTGAAGGACCCTGCTTTTCTGAATCACTCTGATGAGTACATACAATCACCTTTGGATTCAAGTGCTCCAATCAAATTGGATAAGCTGCAATAATTTAAAATTGCTTCCTGGTAAAGTAGCAGTATGTGGAACACTTTTTTAAAAAAAATAATTGTGCTTGTGTGTTTTTCAAGTGCCCTGTTTTCAAAGTGACGTTACAAGTATGCCTGGTACATTGTTATTGCTAACTAAACAAGTGAATGCATCTATTTTAAAAAGCATTCTGAAAATAGATATAGCTGAGCCTGGGAATACATTCAGAAAGGATGTGTGCCAAAACCTAATGGCCAAATAGAGCTAGCCAGGAATAAATCTATTATCAAATCTGGTTTGCAACAGTCTGAAAGTGCCTTAAATTATTTCATTTCCTTACTTGGAATCTGTATTCCATTTACAAGCAGTTCCCATTGTCATTGTGTGATGCAGGGGTGTCAGAGATTTAAGGCTTGGAGGTGCTATTTTGATTATATGTAGAACCTAAGGTAGCAAACAGGAACCAGCTGCAAAAAACAATGCCCTTAGAATGCTGAGCCCCAGAGGATTCTGCCCCTCAAAGCAAATATCGGAGGATGGATCCTCTTCAGGATCACAGCAGGAGAGAAAATAATTAAATTCTCCCATCTATTTCTGCAGCTGTCTTAATCCACTCTCCCAGCTGCTGCTATTTCCATTTTTAACCACCTGCATGTTAAGTGCAGTTGTCACAGATATGCCTTGCTTTGAGAGTCCACTTTCAAAGTAATTTTTGAACATGAACAGAAGCAGGTAAAGGCACCAGTTTGAGGACAACTAGCCTCTTATCCATGCTTTGCAACTCACAAAGCAAGACTTCTCTTTATGAAACACTGAAATGGAGTGGGTCTGCTTTCCATATCCCTAGAAACACACATTTAATTTCATTTGGATCTCTCTTAAGAGCATAAACTCAATGCAAGTAGAAATTTATCAGGAAAGCAATAAAATTTGGCACAATAGTGAAGAAACATATCAAAAATGTTTATGTAATCTAGCATTGGCTGAAATGACACTAATACCAAACCAATTTTTATATCTACGATGTTGATATTATGCGTAACATGAGCGAATAGCACATAAAAGATTTTCAAACTTTTTGAATACCGTTCATTCTTGAACTACATAAAAGTGTTAGTATGTATGTACAGAGCAGAAAATAGCCTCTAGCTCTAAGGCAGGGGTGTCAAACTTGATGTCACTGAGGGCTGCATCCGGGTTGTGTTTGACCTAAGGGGGCCAGGGTGGGTGTAGCTAGTTCAATGTCACTCATGTCGGGAGCACCTGTGGGCACCTCCCAAGCTCCATTTTCGGCTGTGACTGCCTCCTGCAACCCTCTACCAGCGAAACGGATCTTGGGAGGGACGCGGGTGGCCCTCCCGAGCTTCGTTTTTGCTGACACAGGCCGGTTCTTTAGCCCTGCGGGCCAAATTTAAGCACCCTCCCAGGCCGGATCTGGCCCCTGGGCCTTGAGTTTGACACTTCTGCTCTAAGGTTTTTATTATCAAAAATTCACTGCAGGGGAAACAAAAGGGAAAGGAAAGGGTAGCAGAGACAGGAGTTTACAGTATGTACTTGTCTTTGAAAAAGTGCTGGTACAGTATCTTGAAAAATTGTTGTATTTTTTGTTGTTGAAAAATGAAACTGCATAAAACCATTCAGTCCCATTCAGAAAGTTCATTTTCAAAGGTATTTTCAATGGAATTATATGTGACCACTAGATGGTACTGGCATTCTACTCTTTTTTTCTTTCAATAGCCTTCCTTAATTTTACTACCATTTAATTATATAGCTTTGTTTATTTTATGTTCATACTTTCTGTAATTTTCCCCAACACTTTCATCTTTGATATGCGTGCTATCCTGAGAATTCTGGTCCTTGTTCAGTCTAAAATTGAAACAAACGTTTAAAGAATAAATAGAAAACAGCTCAGGAATACGTTCACTGAGACAGATGCACTCAGGGATAAGCAGGCTTTTCCTATTATTTCAATTCATGTGGATGAGACTGTTATTTTTAAAATTCAAAAGATAATATAAAAATTAGATACCGAATGGGGTACAGCAACATAGATGAATCAGTCAGTACCTCCATTAATTTTGCTTGCGGGAAGACAGCTTGTAAGTTGCAAATGGCAATCAAATCTCACTACTCAAGGTTGATTCAGCCTTCCATCCTTCCGAAGTGGGTTAAATGAGGACCTAGATTGTTGGGGCAATATGTTGACTCTGTAAACCGCTTAGAGAGGGCTGTAAAAGCACTATGAAGTGGTATATAAACCTAAGTGCTATTGCTATTGCTATGGAACACCAGAATGCTACAACCATTGTAAATATGTACCAGTTGCCAAGTGTCTGAATTTTGAACATGTGACCATAAGGATGCAGCAATAGAAGTAAGGGTGAGAATCAATTGTAAGTCACTGTTTTCAGTGCTGTTGAAATTTGACTGGTTGGTAAACAATGGCTATAAGTCAAAGACTGTCTGTATATGTAGCAATATAAAAGCTACTTCTTATTTTATTGTCTAAAATCAAATCCATTGGCAATTAAAATAAGTAATGAGATAATTAAGGAGCCAATATGATGAAGAATAAATATCACTTTTTGTGTGTGTGTGTATTTGTGTAAAATATACAAATTATAATTGATGCTAAAACTTTTCATATTTTTTCACATTTTAAAATCAGTTTTGTGTGAATGAATTTGGAGCTCTAGAAGTGATCACTGATGTAACAGAGATGGAAAGTGTTAAGAAGGCTACAGCTACCACAACTTGGATGGTGCCAACTGTCCAAGAAGGTCAGTACGGTTATTTTAATTTTGTTTCTTGGCATCACAATTTCATATGGATATCAGTGTGTCTAGCTGTCGTAAGCAAGGTTATAATTTTTGTTGTGCATACATTTTAAATAAGAGGTGGCATCTGAGCAGAATTGTTCTACAAATACTCTAAAATTTGTGTTAAAGAATGAATCACGATGTTAGTGTAATTTCCCACTTTTAAAACAGTTTGGGGTAGCAAGTAATGGGGGGGGGAAGGGGGAAGTGAAGCTCGAGACCAGAGATATGCATTTGGCGCAGGACTGTCTTAATGCGTGGGCCTGATGGGTACTTGCCCGTGGGTCCCACGAGCATAGGGTTCCCATACTAATCTGTGTGTGTTAACCCTTCAATGCACCTTGTATCGTATAAATACAGCAACATATTTATTACATTTTACTGCATTTTTTATTAATACTAACATGAAAATATATGTTTAATTTTATTGACCATTTACATTTTTATTCCTGTGAGTAGTTGTTGTATGGGCCCCAGTAAACTGCTTTGCCTGGGGCCCATAATGATGTTAAAACGGCCCTGATTTGGCATAATCCAAGCATTCTTCCTAAAAAAACCCCATGCTGTTCTACCTTCCCTGCTATTGCCACAAGGGAAAGAAAGGACTAGACCTGTTTGTCTGCTAGATGGGCCCCCAATCTTGATCAAGTGCTTGCTCTCGTAGCCTGGAAACAATAGTCATGTTAAATGCAGTTAAAACATTCACATAAACGTTGGTGCTAAATCAACAGGATTTTTATTAAAAATTAAAAAAAGTTACTGTTAACGGATTTTGCTTAGAAGAAGGTTGTAGCTTCTGCTTTCTTGTAATATACAACACTCTCTCTTCGCTCACAGAATCACATTTTGTCTCTTGAAGTTAAGCCATAATCCGAAGACTGAACTAAAAATAAAAGTGGCACCAGATAAAAGGATCAGAGAAGGCAGTTCCATAGATTGTTTAAAGTTTTTGTGGTTCCTATATATTTGTCTGTGGTGAAGCTAAAACACAATCATCTTCTTCTTAAGCCCATGGAAAACTAATAAGAACCAATTAAGAACTAGGTGATAGGATTCTAGATATTTCAGAAAAGATCTGCTGCTGAATTAAATTGTGTTCTGGGCTGAACAGTTTCTAGCCTCAGGGATGTATAAGGCTGTGTGGGAAGCCCTGGAAATGGTATTGTAAGCCCCAAAGTGGCCTTAACTCAATTTAGGAAAAAAGACAAATTACTGTAGTTGACTTAAGCTCTGCCCACTCATTTCCCTGCTCACTATGGTTTCACCCTCCCCCAAATTTTATATTTGATTCCCCAATAACGAGAAGATTGCCCATTCCTGCTCTAAATGCTGGATATATACAGCCTTATGCTTCCAGGAAAAGGAGCTTATCTTTCATTTATGAAAGAGACCAGGTTCAGCAAAATCTTACCAATAGAGAAAGTCTAAAGGAGATTTAATTTGTGAATTCTCTTGTTGCCTTGCGGCCGTCATGCTGCTCCACAGTCCCCTGGAGCATCTCTGCAGGAAAATGGCAAATTCATCAAAAATCACTTGTCCTTATTTCTCTTGTGAGTTCCAGTGAGCAGAATTTTGCTCATCTGGGATCCAGTCCAATAGCTTTTATATATTGAAATCTGTTTGATAGAATATTTTTTCCAAAGTTCTTAAGCTTGCAAACCACTTGATATAAGTTGTAATTTAAATGTTGGCTAGTAAGAACTTAAGAAGTGTCTTACTGGATTAGACTGTTGGTCAATCTGTGTAATTCATCTATCTGTCTTCTCAGTGGCCAACCAGTTACACAAGAAAGAATTCTTCCGTGAATTTGGCCAACCCTTTTTTGAATCCAGCTAAGTTGGTAGCCACTATTATATCTCATAGCTCCAAATTCCAAAGTTTAATTATTGATGGTGTAAAAATACTTTGTTTTGTCTTGCTGGATTCTTCCAAGATTCAGTTTCATAAACATCTGCGTCTAGTATTTTGGGAAGGGAAAAACAGCTTCTCCTTATCCATATCATGTACAGTTTTGTACATCTTATTCATGTCCTCTTTTGTTGGCTTTCTTTCTAAAATAAACATCCCCCAAACTTGCAACAGTTCCTTGTAAGATGCAGTCCTTTGATCAACTTACCGGTAGTTTCTTTCCTCTGAACTTTCTCTAGTTCCACTATTTTTAAGATGTGGTAACCAAAACTACACACTATAATCTAGATGTGGCTGCAACATTGATTTATATAAGATCTTTATTTATTTATTAATCTGTTTCTTTATATATTAAAGTTTTATGCCACCCATCTCCACTGTAAGACAACTTTGGAACTATTAAAACTATACAGATTAAAAAATTTAAACTACACAAAAACCAAAACTATGGTTTTATGATATTGGCTTCTCTACTTTCAGTACAAATTCTTATTATCCTTGACATGCAGTTGACTTTTACAGCAAATGCACACTCTATTGAAATCTTTATTGAATTGTTCACCATCATTCAGAGAAATAAACTTGTTGTTGAATAAATGGTTTAGATGAAGCCTGTAAGATTTTGCTAAAGTGTCAGCACTGATAGCTTGTGGGAAGCCTGTGCACAACTGATAAATGTGCATTAGTAATTAAAGAGGTGCAGGAGGTTGAACTCAAAAGCAAAAAGATGCTTTGCAGCATGAAAGTTCTAACGCATCAGCTAAATATGTTTTCTGTCTATAGATTGTTCTACAGCTGCAAAAGCAGCCACACAATCCTGGGTAAAGATATAGCTGCTTTAAGGAATGGCAGACATGTGCTAGATGTGTTTCCCAGCTGAAACTCTTGGTCATTTTGTTTGACATAATTCATTAATATCTTTTTTTCCCCACCTGTATGTCATCCTGAGAATTCACTGCTTTCTTTCTTCTGTGTAGCATTCTCAGAAAAAACAGAAGTACCACCAAAATTGAAGGAAACCACAAAGGCAGATGGGCTTCATTTTTGTGAAAATTGTTTTCAGTCTGGAACATCGGTGGAGTTTGTAGCTGGAGAAAGAAATTGCAGCCAAAAATGTGCCCATCTGTTTAAAAACAAGTAAGAGTTAATATAATACATATAACACAATATCATGGCAAGTACAAATTCTGTTGTCGCCTAAGGGAACACTGGATAAAAATACTTGCTGAGCTGTCAGCTGATTTTTTAAAAATGGAATTATGTTGTATTATTGTTGCTAATTACTGCTGGGTTTGTGAAGCAAAGGAGAAAAAGTACGGGGATATTAGAGACAGGTGCCATCAGGCAATCCTCTATAGTAGTTGCAGGTGAAACCATCCACCCTTAACAAATTACAGGGTTAGAACAAAGGTGATCTCACAAGAATTCAAACATGTATTTATTAAGAATGCTTCTGTGTGACTTCTATAATGCCATTTGGGGATATTGTACATAGGTAGAGCTTTTGATACCGCATTATTGACCCCTATTCAGTTATATAAAACAAGGCAAATGCTTTTGCAATTATTTAAATAAGTTTATAAATAAAAGAATCCTCAAGAGCTTGAAACAGTATTGACCTTACACATCTCAGAGAAGCCATATTTTTCTCGGTAATTACCACTGTTGGTTTGTGAGCATAATATAAATCTGCCAGAATAGTCATGCGTTTGATTACCATTCAGTATAATTCATAGCTAAGTGTCAACAGGATGCAGTCTTGGGTGCAATCTTGTGTACATTAGGGCAGTCATATTCTTTGAAAGAGAACAGGAGCATAAGATATTCAGAAACAGTCTTAAAAGAAGTAGCTGAAGTAAACCTGCAAAAGAAAAACACATGGCTGTCAAAGATAGCTGCTTCATTCACATTCCTGAGTGCTATAAGAATTTGAACAGTTCTGATACATATCTATTAAAAAATAAATCCCAGTAAGTTTGACTTCTAGTTAAAGATTGCAGCACCAGTATTTATTCATAGAATTTTACTTAGTATATGAGCATATGATAAAAAAAGTTTGCATTATTCACTTTGATTTTATAAAAGTTCGATTTAAATGTAATCCAGTATATTGGAATTTATGGCAGGAAAGTCATGTATTTTTGTTCAGGACCATGCATTAACTTAAAAAGGGAAAGACTGTATATTTTCTGTTTTCTTCTCTGTTAGTAATAGTGTAGTTCAATTTATCACTAATGCAAATAATTATTGCACCGTTGCTTTTACTGTGCTCATTTGAGAAATTTATTTTACTGTCTTACATACTGATCTCTTCAAACTTTCAATGGATGGCAGTCTTTCTATTATTCCACTTGACAGCATTCAAATTTGCTATTTCTTTTCTTTTAAAATGCCCTTTTAAAGTATGCGCTTTGAGGAGAAATAGGAAAGGAAAGTTTTGAAAGATGCAAAGTCTTGTTTTGTGAATCATAACTTTTTCCTTGTGATAATTAATGCAATTTAATTCTCCTTCTAGGGAATCAAAGGAGGAAAAAGATGTGTCAGAATGCAGTGACGAAGACTATTCTAAGGGCATTCAAAAGAGAAAAAGCAAACTGCCATCCAAAGGAGAGGTTATTGAAGAAAAAGATAAAGAAACAGTTAGTATTTTTCAGTTCTAGATTAGACCATTTCTTGTAGTTTTAGTACTGTTCAGTAGTCCCTGCTTGTAAAACTTGTGCATTTTAAGCCTGTTGCCAATCATAATTTGTTCAGTGGTTGATTGAACAAACCATAAATGGAGTGGTACATTTAAATTTAAATTTAACTGATTTGCCCCAATCTCATGAGATTTCTGGACTATGTGATATTTCAGCAGTCTCAAATAACTCCCCTTCCCCGAATTTTATGAACTTGATTTTTTATTAGAAATCTTATAAGATATAAGAATATTGAAATCTTGTAAAATTCAGCAATATCATGGCATTCCAATTATTTGATTGATAGAGAAACAATCATTTAATTTTGTTATTGACAAATGTTGTGAATGCCCAATTAGATGTTGGGAGTTGGGGTTGGGCTGGTGTTAAAGAAATATATACCATTCTTCTGACTGTTGCATTTATTTTCATGTAGATAGAATGAGAATAGTAAATTATATATCTGGTCTACAGTGTAGTCATTTTCTTAAAGAGTCTTACAGAGAGCCTATTGCTATTCTTCTCTTTTGTATTGAGAGAATAATTAGGAAAGTCCTGTATTGTAGTTCACTGTTAATATTGCAAATCAAAATTGATTCATACATCTTGTTTCAGGTGTACTTAAGTTGTTCATAATACTATCTTCCTAGTTTAATCAAACACCACTCTGCAGGTTGGAACTTCATTCTCCATTGATTTTTACATGAACTGAATTCATATTTAAATATTCAAAATACTGTCAGAACAGGAAGTTCTTTGTTTGATAATCATAAATGATAATTATGCCAGTCACAATATTTAATTTTGCAATTTAGGAAGAGAACTCTGAAGGAAGAATACTGAGAGTATCTCAAAGAGCCACACGGAAAAGGAAACGAGAGGTGGCAATTTTAAAACAAAGTAAGTTTCATTTTTCATTTTTTTCATTTTATTAAATTTGTATACCGCCCTACTCCCGAAGGACTCAGGGCGGTGAACAGCCATGAAATAAAACATATAGATACAAAATTTAAAATAGAGATAAAACTAATTAAATAAATTTGGCTGAACCATTTTAAAACCCCAATAAATTAAAACCAAATTTAAAATTCCATTTAAAAAGAGGAAAAGTTTAGGTCAGGCCAGCTTGATGGAATAAGAACGTCTTAAGCGCGTGACGGAAGGTATGCAGAAGTTGATTTATAATACTTTATAATACTTAGCAGAATAAAGTTTTCCTTCAGTTCCTCAAAAAACTTAAAATATGTCTTGAGGTAAATGGATGGATTAAGTGTACAATCATAAGTGAGCAACCATATTATATGAATCTGTGAATTTTACATATTTATACTGTTTGCAAATATATTCTGGTCATTGATTTTTCATAATGCCATAATGAGCATTCCCATTGTATGTTTGGTTGATAAAATTGACGTAGCCCCCACCTTCTGGAACATCATTCCCCCCCCGCCTCGCCCCTGAGGTGAGATTGAACCCAATTCTGTTAGTTTTCCAGCAAGCTCTTAAAACAAGGGAGGGCAACTATGGTAACTTTATGACCTGTGGACTTCAACTCCCCTGATGGCTTAGAAATTCTGGGAGTTGAAGTCCACTGAAGTCCACAAGTTGTAAAAGTTGTCATAATTGTCCAACCCTGCCTTCCAACCTAGCTTTATCAACTAGCTTAGTGATGCTATGATACAGTGGAGCCTCTTAGATGGTTATATGACAGTTAATGGATTCACTCTGTTTTATGTCATTGCTTTTTTAAATTTGATTTATTTTGTTTTTATTTTAATTTAAATTGATTGTTTTCAATCAGTTTTTATACATTCTTAATTATTAGGTATGCTGCCCAGAGTCACTAAAGTTGGATAGATGGCTATACAAATATTAAATTAATTAATTAAAAGAATATACTATTATATTTAGTCAATGGTATCACTTTATTATAATAACTATGCTGTACATAGCAAAACATTCAGTACTTTGTAAAAGCAAAAATTGAACAGCATCGCCCTTCAAGTGCTTACATTTTATTGTTTTATTAAAAGCTTCAAATATTCTGTCTCTAATGTTTCCCATTCCATAGGAAAGTTTAAAGTAGAAGTATAAATGAAATTAAGATTATTCTCTTTCCTGAACACTGATGGGGATTTCTATTCCACAAATGTGAAATTGTTCAACTAATTTTTGGGAACCTGTAGAAAATTAAGTGTTAAATACTTTAAAAAGTGACAAATCCAAAATATTAACTAAGTAGTAAAATGCTATTACTGTGGAGTCAGTTTCCTAAAAGAGTGAATATGCTTCTTTAAGGAAAATAATAAGATTAGGCAGTTTTAGTTACCTGTAAACTGATCTATAATTTTCACCTTGATGGAAATCATCTACTATTCCTGCTGTCTTAATTAACAGCAAGCTGTTGTTGTGCTGTTCACACAAATACAGATAGTCCTGGATTTACAACCACAATTGAGCCCAAAATTTCTGTTGGTTTGACACTTGTTAAGTGAGTTTTCCCCATTTTAAGACCTTTCTTGCCACAGTTATTAAGTGAATCACCACAGCTGACAAGTTAGTAACAGGGTTGTTAAGTGAATATGGCATCCCCATTGATTTTGTTTGTCAAAAGGTTGCAAAAGTTGATCACCTGACCTTGGAACACAGTGAAGGTCATTACTGTGAGTCAGTTGCCAAACGTCTGAATTTTGATCTCATGATCATGGGGATGCTACAAAGGTGAGTGAAAACTGCATAAGTCACTTTTTTTAGTGCCGTTGTAACTTTGAATGGTCACTAAATGAAGTACTGTAAGTCAAGGTGTCAGGGTTCCAAGTAACGGGAACATAGGAAATCAAGGCAGGGTTCCTCAAAAGTATAGATTTATTAGGCATGTCATAATTTTATGATTACCTGTTTGGTAACTTTGCTTTACTAGTTTTGAAGTATATAGGATGATGTTACCATATTTACCCAATAGTAATACAAGATTTTTCACCATAGATTATTATCTATGAATGGGGCAGGGAAGAGAATCATCCTATACTTGGTGATAAGATGCTTTTCAGGAGTTTGAAAGCAAAACATGGACAGTTACCTGAGTAACTGAGCTTACACATGTCTTCTGAGAATAGATTTTATTTTCTAATCGTTTGATTTCTAATTTCAGCTTTAATGTCAAAGGGAAAGAAAGCATGGAGTTGGTCTTCATATTTGGAAGAAGAAAAGGCTACAGCAGCACCTCCTAAGATTTTTAAAGAGGTAAGCTCTCCTGTAAAATCCTAATTAATTGGTTTGAATATACTTTGCTAGATAATTGTCTTAAATAAAGGTGAATTTAAAATTTTGACATGACTGATAAGGTTATGTTAGTCCCCTTACTTACGAAAGGCAGTTCACAGATGTTACTATGTTTATATGTAATAACTGATGTAGAGGAGATCATCCCAGGTGTTGTTTTGTTATAGGTAACCCGCATATAAGTGGGCAGGTTTTCATAGTGACACCATAGTTCTGGAGTTCTAGTTGTATTGTATTTAACTCTTCTAAACATTTTGTAACAGCAGCTGAAAACCTGTTTTTTTCCCAGCAGGCTTTAAATGTTGACGTTGATTTAGCTAAGCAAGCTGTTGTCTCCGTTTAAAACCATTATGCATAATGTTTGAATTGTTATTTCATACTTCCTTATATTTTTGTACTGATCGATGTATTTAAAATTATTTCTGTGTGCAACTAAGTGCCCAATTCCAAAACATTGCAATAAGAATTCATTGGTGTTATTACTGCTGGCAGCCTGAAGTTAGAAGCTAGGTGTATGCATTTGTGCTTGGTTTTGGTTTGTACACTGGTGAAGATAAGTTTTTAACTTATTTTAACCTGTTTTCCCTACCCCAAATTCTGAGATAGGTTAGCTATGTCCATTTGGAATACATTGTTCCTTTTTTAATAGTTTTTTTTGGTTCACCCATTATGTTTATTCTCTTTTGCTTTATTTTAGCAATTGTGTGGGGTTTTTTAAACGCATGCAGCTTAGAGTCAGTAATGAGTTGGAGGAGGGGCTTATATATCTAAATTATGCATTTAAAAAAAATTGGAGCGCATAGTGTGAACAATCCTGAATAGAAAAGAAACATTTCAATAGTTGTAATAGTTAGATAATAGTTAATGACTTTTTAAATGGACATTATATAGAATATTTTTGTATAGACTAAAATAAAGATTGTGTCAGAAAATCAATAAACATAAATCTCATAATTTTATAGTTAAAGAATTCTCGATTATATCATTTTGGCATTCAAAAACAATACTCTTTATATGCAACATTTCTCTGCCTCTTTTTTTTCATACTGTATCCATTCCCAGTATTCTTCTAATGCATATATAGATGCTGTTATTATTATACATACAATTTTGGTTCTGTGAAAATAGTAATTTATTATGGAGCAAATTTAGTAAGAATTACAAGAAGGACTGTACAACCATAGCAATAGCAATACTTTAAGTTGAATGCATGTGGATCCTGTGTATTTTGACAGGATCAATGGTTACAGCCTTGATAACCAGAAACCTTTGGTGAGAAGCTTCAATTGAGGTAGCTGTACATCAATAATTTGATGGAAGTAATCCTAATTAACCACAGTTAATGCCATTAAAATAGACAAAAAGGAGTGGTGAGACTTGGGCTCCTAGGAAAGGATTAACAGAAAGTTGTATATAATCTTGTGGGCACCTCCCCTGCCCCCACCCACAGACACACATAGACACACATTGTTTCTTAATTGTGATTTCTTTTGCCTGGACCATTGACTTGTTTTGCTATATGTCAGTCAGTTTCAAAGAGCGAAACAATAATGCCTGTCGGAAATTTGCAAGTCCATTCATTCTTACACTCATTTTAGTACAAGCAGTAATGCAAAATTCTGCTTGTAAAATTCTTTAAAGTAAATTGATTTTTGCATGGTTATATCTTCATTCGATAACTAGAAAAATCATTGTGGAAGAAGCAGCTACTTTTCACAATTTATTTCAGCATTTATTTAACTTCATATAAGAAATTTTTCAAAATCTTAGTATTAAAATTAGCTTTAGCACTGTGGTAGAAAAACTTCGGCAATAAATACCAATCACTGGAGAGGATCCAAAGAGTCATTTATTTTTCAAAGCTAGCAGGTTACTACTGGCAGTCATTAGAGTTTTTTTTTTACCCAGATGAACCAAGAATAAGAACTACTAGGTTACATAAGTCTTAAAGAGAATGTTGATCACAGACAATTTGACAATGTGTATACATTAATAGGAGGTGCCAGTAGAATTATTTTACAATGGTTAAAGAAAATGATAACAGAAAGGAAGACATGAGTATCTTTCATTGTATGAAAACATAGAGATGCATTTTTTGAAAGGCAGCTTACTTATATATATGGCTTATACGAAATCTTTTAATTATTATTCCGGCAAGCAGTTCCTGGGCTTTGCTGCAGAGAGAGATAAGGAAACACAGCTCTACTCATCCTTGTATTTACTATCTCTGCTTAAGGCACAAACTTTAAAATCAATTAGAAACTAAAAAGCATAACTGACACAGTAAAGAAAACCCCATTCTTAAAGGTCATGCAGACATATATGCAATATTGTATTGCATAATGAAGCATATGATGACATAATTACTTAACCTAAGTTCAAAATATAACTCGCACAGCAGGAATGTAAAAGATGAGAGAGGCAGAGCCATTAATCCGGAAATATATTAACATATTTATTACTTAGGAAATGCATAATGTACTTTATCCTGAAGATTTTGATCTAGTCCGTATAGTTGCTTTTTTTTTTTTTTTTTTTTTTTTTAAATGGAGGTGGGGAAAAAAGTTTCATTAGCTGGTATCAGTGTGGAAGATCTGGATTTTCTTCTTAACGGAGAAAAATAAGATATCTGTCTTGGCGTATTTTAGAAATACTTATGTTAAATAAAACTTGACATTTTACTTCTAGTACCAGTCCTTCCCATACAACAAAAATGGATTCAAAGTTGGAATGAAACTAGAAGGAGTGGATCCTGAGCATCAGTCAATGTACTGTGTGCTTACAATAGCAGAGGTGAGTGCCAGAATGATAAAACAATAAACTTGATTTTAGCAATATTATCTATACATTTATCTGTATTAAAAACAAGTTATAGCAGGCAGTGAGAAAATAACACCATCCCATCATTTAGAGCCAGGTAACAGAATTATAAGCTATAAATAAGAATGTAAGAAGAGCTTTGTTGCAAAGTCATACTTTCTGGCATTTCTGTAAAGCCTTTTAATTATTCTAAGTTTCTAAATTTATCTAAATTCGTAACCAGTACATCTTTTATTAAATGTTGTATGATTCAACATACAGATTATGCAATCTAAAGTTTGTTTGAGAATTGTTCCCTATTCAATAATTGACTCTTAAGGCCCATGAGGAGATGCACTTCTACTCATATGTATATTTTTATATACTCTGATTTTAGATTTGTGGCTATAGAATTAAACTTCATTTTGATGAATACCCAGATTGTTATGATTTTTGGCTGAATGCTGATTCTTCAGATATTCACCCTGTTGGGTGGTGTGAGAAAACTGGGCATAAACTTCATCCACCAAAAGGTACTATGTTATACATAAACAATTTATGACCTTTTTTTAAAAATTGTGTTAAGGCAGCATAGGTAGACTTTTATAGTGAGAGACTTAGGAATCTACAAGTAAAATTGTATACTGGCTATAGTAAAAAAAAGTGGTACATATTTTCTTTTCATGTTTTCTTACATTATAAAATATAAGTGAATTCTGAAAAATTTAAATTCCAGGATCTGAAAATGTCGACTGTATATTTTTTATGTTCAAAGACAGAAATTATCCTTTGACCAATGCTTTAATGATTGAACAGCTAACAAATGAATTACACAGTACTCTCAAAAGAAAGCTTCCTGATGAAGTTTTAATAACTACATCAGTTTAACATTAGGATGCTTGATGAGGATATCATTAGTTCCAAAAAGGTATAAACTTAAATATTTGTCTCTTCCTTAGAAGGAAGAAGAAAAAAGAAATAATACATAGTTGAAAGCATTGCATCTTCATTATTATCAATGTGCATCAGATTCTGGTTTGTGCCTACCCTGAATCTGTAGCAGATGAGATTTTGGAGAAAGTCTTCCCCTGCTGCACATGCTCACAGACAAAATTCTGGTATCAACTTCTCAGAACATTCAAAAGTTACCAAAAAGAGTCTTTGTCCACTGATGCTTAGGCAATCCATAGATGGGATAAGAAGACCGAAAAGCTAAAGGATACCAGGACACAAAAGAATTACTGTTCAGAAAAATAAATGGGTTGAAATCATCTTTTATCAATGTCTTCTGCTGTTCTTGGGCCCATGGTGCCCTAGTTAATTAGATCAGTGTATCCTTTTTCTTACAGTACTGCTGTCTACTCTTATGTAAGCTTTCTGATTCCAAAGGTCTCGAACCAACCTCAGAGGGTAGCATAAGGGACCTCTCTGTGTTACATGGAGTGGAATTTTTCTGATCAGTTGATGAGATTCAGGGGAACGTTGATCACATTTATCTCTTTTCTCTTCTCTGAGTCCATCCATATTCCTTCATAAATACATGAACACTGATCAAAATAAAATCTGGTTATATTACCAGGTTAATGATTATTTTCCTTACAAATATTTATGTGCTTCCCAGCCAGCAGGACAATTAGCAGAAAAGTATTTGAAGTCAAATCAATCTCCTTCAAAGGAAAGGGAAAAAGACTTTTATTTTCTGTATTACTTTGTGTTGAGAAATATGGAGGAATATGATCTGTTTTGGATCTTCAAAATATTTGTTCACTTCAAAAGTGAACAATTGCATCCAGTTCAAATCAAACCTTTATAATCAATGCACAACACGTGTACAATGAGATAAAATGAGCCTCCCTTGGTGCAGCCCTCCTGTAACATGGAATACATCTTAATAACTCAATAAGTAAAAGAAAAAGAAATCCCTAAACTCAAATAAGTAATAATTAGCACACATTCCCATATACACATATGTATATAACTTTATATTATATTACACTGGTATGAACATGTTGAACGTTGCGCTGGCCCTACAAATCTATCATATTAAACCTAATTGTGCTGTTATGTTGTGTTCAGAAGTCTGATGGCCCATGGATAAAAGCTATTTTTCAGCCTATTCATTCAGCTGGCTATGCTCCTATATCTCCTGGCCGATGGTAGGAGAGTAAAGAAGTGCTGACCAGGATGTGAATCCTCCCTGAGGATTTTCCTCACTCTGCTAAGGCAATTTCGTCCAATGAGGTCAGAAGGCAGCCCATGATTTTTTCTGCTGTGCTCATCACCCTCTGTAATGCTTTTCTGTCTGCGGATGTCAAGCCAGCATATCATACCGTAGCACAATATGTGAGAACGCTTGCTATTGTAGACCGATAAAAGGAAGTCAGTTGTTGTTCCACTTGATTTTTTTGCAAGACCCTAAAGAAATGGAGTCTCTGTTGAGTCTTCCTGACCACCTGGAACATGTTATTTTTCCAGGTAAGATCTTGGCTAAGGTGGACTCCCAGGAATTTGAAAGAGGAGACCCTCTCCACACAGCCCCCTCTTTATGTAGAGTGGTTGTAGGACAGGTTCCTCTCTTTGCTTCCAGAAGTCTAGCACCATCTCTTTTGTCTTGCTGGTGTTTAGATGCAAGTTGTTTTCTGAGCACCATGTAGATAACTTCTGGACTTCTTCTCTGTATGCTAATTTGTTTCCTCCTGTAATAAGACCCAATGCGGTGGTATCATCTACAAACTTTATTACCACGTTAGATGGATCAGAAGATATGCAGTCATATGTGTACAACTAGTACAGGTAGGGACTGAGCACACAGCCTTGAGGAGAGCCAGTGTTGAGTTTCAGGGAGGAGGATGTGAAAGACCCAGCCCTCACTGTTTGTGACCGGTCCATCAGAAAGTCTTTAATCCAATCATAGGTGAGAGAGGGGAAATTCAAGTCAGTCAACTTTTCGAAGAGAATGCCTGGCAAAATGGTGTTAAAAGCCAAGCTATAGTCTATGAAAAGCATTCTGACGTAGTTGCCAGTTTTCTCTAGATGACTCACTACAGAATGTAGGGCAGTAGCAATGGCATCACCTATCGACCTATTTCCTCTGTAGGCAAATTGATATTGGTCAAAGTTTGATGGAAGGCAAGACCTGAGGTGTTGAAGAACCAGTCTCTCAAAGCATTTCATCACTACAGACGTTAGTGCAATGGGTTTGTAATCCTTCAGGCTGTTTATTGCTGTTTTCTTCAGGACTGGAATGATAGTGGCTGCTTTCAGACATGATGGAACACTGGCATTTTGCAGGGACATGTTAAAAATCCTTGTTAGGACCTCTGATAGTTGGTCAGCACAGGTTTTTAGCACTAATCCCCAGCACCCCATCTGGACCTGCAGCTTTATTGGAATTCACAGTCTTCAATACAGCTCTCACTTGGTGTTCATGCAGGGTGAGTGGCTGGGAGTTGGAGGGCCAGCAGGCTGGGGCTACAGGGTTAGGTCTCTTGACCTCATAGCAGGCGAAGAAGGTGTTCAACTCCTCTACCAACGAGGCATCGGAGTTTTTTTTTAATTTTTTTTTTTTTATTAATTTAATTTGTATACCGCCCTTCTCCCAGAAGGGACTCAGGGCGGTGAACAGCCAAAATTAAAAAACATACAAATGCAAAAGTTAAGATAATTAAAAGAATTAAATCATTGGCTACCCAAATTTAAAACCCCAAATCCATAAAATTTAAAATCCCAATTAAAAAACCATTTAGGCTAGGCCGGCTTGATGAAATAAAAACGTCTTCAGGGCTTTACGGAAGGTCCGGAGGTCCGGGATCAATCGTATTCCAGGAGGCAGCTCATTCCACAGGGCGGGTGCCCCCACAGAGAAGGCTCGCCCCCTGGGGGCCGCCAGCCGACATTGCCTGATCGACGGCACCCCGAGGAGGCCCTCTCTGTGAGAGCGTATTGGCCGGTGGGAGGTTATCGGTAGCAGCAGGCGGTCTCGCAAATACCCTGGCCCTAAGCCATGGAGCGCTTTAAAGATGAGAACCAACACCTTAAAGCGCACCCGGAAGACCACCGGGAGCCAATGCAGCTCGCGCAGGAGAGGTGTTACGTGGGAGCGCCACGTCGCTCCCATAATCACCCGCGCGGCCGCATTCTGCACCAGCTGGAGCCTCCGGGTGCTCCTCAGGGGGAGCCCCATGTAGAGAGAGTTACAGTAGTCCAGGCGTGACGTAACCAAGGCATGAGTGACTGTGCACAAGGAGTCCCGATCCAGAAAGGGGCGCAACTGGCGTATCAGGCGAACCTGATAAAAAGCCCCCCTGGCCACGGCCGTCATATGCTCTTCTAAAGACAGCCGTGTGTCCAGGAGGACGCCCAAGTTGCGAGCCCCCTCTGTGGGGGTCAGTGACTCGCCCCCCAATAGCCAGCGATGGCACCAGCTGGCTATACCGGGACGCCGGCATCCACAGCCACTCGGTCTTGGAAGGGTTGAGCCGAAGCCTGTTCCTCCCCATCCAGACCTGCACGGCCTCCAGACACTGGGACATCACTTCGAGGGCATCATTGGGGTGGTCTGGGGTGGAAATGTACAGCTGAGTGTCATCAGCGTACAGATGGCATCGCACCCCAAAACCACGGATGATCTCACCCAGCGGCTTCACATAAATGTTGAACAGGAGCGGCGAGAGGACCGACCCTTGCGGCACCCCGCAAGCAAGGCGCCTCGAGGTCGACCTCTGCCCCCCTGCCAACACAGACTGCGACCGGTCAGAGAGATAGGAGGAGAACCACCGCAACATGGTGCCTCCCACCCCCAGTCCCTCCAGCCGGCGCAGCATGATACTATGGTCGATGGTATCAAAAGCCGCTGAGAGGTCTAACAGGACCAGAACAGAGGAACAACCCCTGTCCCGAGCCCTCCAGAGATCATCCACCAATGCGACCAATGCCGTCTCCGTGCTGTACCCAGGCCTGAAGCCGGACTGGCACGGATCTAGATAGACGGTTTCATCCAGGAACTGTGGGAGCTGTCGCGCAACCACACTCTCCACAACCTTCGCAACAAAGCGAAGGTTGGAGACCGGACGATAGTTTGCCAAAATGGCCGGGTCCAGAGAAGGCTTCTTGAGGAGGGGCCTCACCACCGCCTCTTTCAAGGCGGGAGGCAAGAAACCCTCTCTCAGAGAAGCAGTTATGATCCTCTGGAGCCAGCCTCGTGTTACCTCCCGGGTGGCCAGTACCAGCCAGGAGGGGCACGGGTCCAATAAACATGTGGTTGCGTTTAATCTCCCCAGGATGTTGACTGTCTTCATCACATTGCCCTTATAGTTGGTTAGGTGCTGCAGTCCCTGCCACACCTGCCTCAGGTTGTTGTCTGCTAGATGGTTCTTTATCTTTCGTTTATATTTTTGTTTAGCTACCTTGATGCCTCTCTGTAGATTTGCCCTGGCCTTAAAGATGGCATTCTGGACTCTCAGAAGTATCTGTACCTCTGCTGACATACAGGGTTTACAATTCCCATAGAGTCTGATGCACTTGTTCACTGTTACATTATCTGGGCACATTTTGATATATGAGAGTACAATGTCAGTGTATTCATGCAATTCTGGGGGTTAAAATATGCTCCACTCAGTGGTTTCAAAGCAATCCTGTAACTGACTGAGTTCACCCTCTGGCCAGATTTTAACAGTTTTCATGAATGGCTGTGTTCTTTTCCTAAGAGGGACGTACTTTGGGCATAACAGCAGAGAGAGATGGTCGGACATGCCCAGGTGGGAGAGGGGAATTGCTCTGTATGCCTGTTTTAAGTTTGAGTACATAGGGTCTAAAGTGATCTTCCCTCTGGTTGGGCACTGCACATACTGCACAAACTTAGGAAGAACAGTCTTTAGACAAGCTTGGTTAAAGCTTGGTTCAGAAATTCCAAATAATGGTTCTACAGAATATCTTGGCATTATTCCATTAATAGGAGTGTTTTGTTTCCATAGATCTCAAAGATGTGATGTTCAACCTCACTCAGGGATTCACCTTCATTTCCCTCCCAAATAGTCACCACAGATTGGTCAGTGAACTGTACCATTGTAATATTTTGGCCATAGAATTGCCAAGAGTCATCTCTATATTAGCTGCCCATTTTTTTTCACTATTCTGAACATCATCTAAGCTTTTGAATCCAATTCTTTGCAATCAGATCTTACAGGTTGAGTTGAAGAGTATCATTATGGTGTGTTCAACATCAACAAGCAAAGGAATACTGCTATGCTTTGTAATTTGAGAATTACCTAACATTTTTTTTCCTTTTCTGATTCATGTTGAGATGGATCTTCTAAACTGTGATCATAAAAGACTCATTTAATGAATGCTTTATCACGGAATGACTCTCTTCAATTTTTAGCACCCAATTCTAGCATTGTTAGCAATTCTATTTTCTTGTGCTACTGCAAGAGATATTTTCTGAGGTATATTTCTATTATTGATATAATCCCCTGTTCCTGCTTGGTATTGCTTTCATTTTAACAGAAAAATATTTGTGTGTATCTGTATACATACAAATTCTGTATAAATAACACACACACACGGGTTTTTTTTGGTGGCACTCTTCTCTTTGTATAGATCCTATGTTTTATCTCAAGAAGGTAGGCCTGCCTTGTGACCTCATCTTGCTCCCTAAAGTAGCATCTGACTTTTGCCTCAGTGAAACTATTCTCTTTCTCTCTTATTCTATACTGAAGTTGGAATTGAATTGTTCTTTTCACTTCTGTTTGTCACATCTTGGCTTTTTGTGTACTCACAGTAACTTCCCACACAACATTGTACTTATTTTTTTTACTCTAGGAAAAAGAAAGATTTCTACTTCCTCTTAGCAATTTGATCACTGGATTAGGGACACCAGTGATTAACTGGCAACCCTCTTGCTTGTTAATGTTTATGGAGTCACTATTATCCATCCTGGTTGGAGAGTGAGGCATGGGCCCCTTACTTACAGCAAAGTAAGGTTTGCTGTACAGTTGCTTATCTGTAACTGCCATCCCTAAAAAATACTCTGGATTCACAGCATGCTTGAACCATCCTTTCTGCAGGAATATTCATGGATATTCCTAAACCCAGTATTGGATGGGAACGCAGATGTCTCTGTGCAGATTTCCACCAACATTTTTATAGTTGTAGAAGGTTCTAGAGAAGGCTGCAGCACAGGAATAACACCCATAGAATTCATTTAAGAAACCACAGTCAGGGGTAAGCAATTGGTTCTTTGTACATCACTTCCATTGGAGATGTTATGGGACAAAATTTAGTTTTTTCAAGTAATATCCAAAAAAAGTTTGGATTTAATTGAGGGAAATAAGCGTATAAAATGCAATGTCATCTTTAGTAAAAGGGCAACTTCAACTTTGAATACATTTGGTCCACACTTCCATTCTGGTAGAAAATACTTCTTTATTTATCTCGATGCAAAACATGTTTCTCTGGGACAGACCACAAAATCAAAACAAGAAAAATAGAGGGGCATTTGGTAACAGCCGAAGCTTTTGATCTTTAAAAATGGTTTAGATACCATAGGTTTCTTTACATGTAATGTTTAAGCCATGCTTTGTTACAATGTTCAACTTTGCACTAATTAAGTTTTCTTGGCACACTGTTTTTCATTTATTTATTTATTTTGCCTTTGTAGACATAGTTACAATGAAATCATCAACTATAGTTCATATTGTACGTTTATACCAGGGGTGGGTTCTACTTACCTTTACTACTGGTTTGCAACGGGGCTGCGTGTGTGTGCTTGCTTTGTTCACATGCGCTCGCGCTCTTCTGCGCATGCGCAGAAGCATTTTGATGACATCGGGGTCGGTGGGCAGAGCCTCCCGCCGGTTTTACTACCGGTTCTACAGAACCGGTGTGAACCGGGGGCAACCCACTACTGGTTTATACCAGGATTATAAACTTTTGCTATTTTCACTTCACAAAATGATAAAATGCTGGACTTGTTAGTTACAAGAACTAGACAGACTTTCAGTGCGTATCATCTGCAAATACTGCATTTGTACCTTACCTCTGTTAGAAAAGATATATGTGTGATTTCTGAAGACAAGCTGGTGCTTTTGGAGTTTTCAGGAGAAAAGATATTACTGACTGGTCTTGTTTTAAATTATATGGTGCCTATAATTATATTCTCAAGGGGCTTTTAAAAGTTAAATGTTTTCAGTTTGTCCTTGAAATGGACAGTTTGGCAGACACTGAATGGTGATACTGACAGAAACAGCTGCAATTAAAGTAAGTGCACCTCAAACTAAAAGAATATTTGTTTTATTCTTCTTTATGGTTTCCAGGATATAAAGAAGATGAATTTAATTGGCCTGCATATCTGAAGAAATGTAAGGCTCAAGCTGCTCCTAAATCTTTGTTTGAAAACCAAAACACAGTAAGTTTTTTCCTTATATTTATCTGTGTTCACATTAGCATTTTGATGTGCCCAATCTAGTTGAAAATGTAATGGATTTTATCAATGTAATAAATCAACTTCTTACAGTAAATTTATATAATAAATCTGTACATGTACACTACCTATATATTTACTTATCTTCAGGAGGTATTTTTTAAAAAAAATTCTACATCTTTTTTCTGTGCCACTTGATATTAATTCAATTACTTGAAAGTGTGTTTTAAAAGCTTTAAATTTTCATTTAAAACATTTTTAAAAAGCATTAGAATAGTATTTTCCTATATGGGTATAGGAAGGCAGCCATTAAATTCTGCTTTGCATGCCTTTTGTACTATAAATGCAAATTTTATTAACGTTTTAAAAAGAATATGAAATCTAAGAAGAACTATTACAAAGTAAAGGAAAGAAAGAAAAAAAGAGAAAAGTCCAGAATTTGCCCGTTTGATGTAAGGTTCCAACTTAGAAAACAGAGACTGCGAGTTCTAGTCCTGCTTTAGGTATGAAAGTGGCTAGGTGGATAAATTTAATAATTATTAAAATAATAATTGAATTTATATCAAGCTTGAGTAAGAATTAATGTGACCTTGTAAGATTTACATGAGGTTTTTCCAACATCCTTTTTTGACTGGCTGACACCCACTGTCCCCTCTTTCAATATCCAAGTAAATTAAATATAAAAGAAGATGATATACAAAATGGATGAGACTGAAATAAAAGAAGTCTGAATTCATTTTTAAAAAAATAATCCAACTATTTGATTTAGGAAATAAGAGTTTATCTTATTCCCAAGACAATGTGATATAAGTTATAAGATACAGACATCTTTAAGACATGGTCACACACAGTGGTGGGATTCAAATAATTTAACAACCAGTTCTCTCTGCCTTAATGACTGGCTGGATGGGTGTGGCCATAGTGGGCATGGCCAAGGGGTGTGACAGGCAGCACTCGGCCTACTGCACTCCCCTGAGAGCAAAAATGGGGTGTGAGGGGGGGCGCAGTGCCCCCCCCTCGCACCCCGTTTTGGGCCTAATAGGCCTCCCTGTAGACTCCTGGGAGCAAAAACGGGCGCCCTGTTTGGGGCCTAGTAGGTCTCCCTGCAGCTTCCTGGGAGCAAAAGCGGGCCACAGGAGGGTGCCGCACCTCTGCGCGCCCTATTTTGGCTAGTAGACCTCTCTGCACTTACCTGCAAGCCAAAATGGGGCATGTGGGGACTCCTGGAAGGGGCGGGGCCAGCCAGCAATTTAACTCTCGATTCGCCTGAACTGTCTGAATCCCACCACAGGTCACACACCTCATTGACTTCACTTAAGTCCTAATTTGTCTGAGTGATTACATATTCACTGTCAGATGCAAGAAGCCAGGAACAGGAATAGAGTTCAAAGCACAAAACATTTATTTCAGTCTACCTGTACACAAGAATCTGATCTACTAACAATCAAGCCAATTTGGCTCTAGGTAAAGATCAGCAGAATTCACAGGAGTCTGGATTTAGCTCCCCTGTGGGAATGTAATGACTGTATGTTTCATTTCATAACAAACTAGGAAAGACAATTTTATTTTGAAAATAAAATTGTAAATATTTACACAGTTTTAACAGTATACCATGTAGAAAGATAGGCAGTCAATAAAATAAAATAATAAAATAAAATAGATAATTTAGAACTTTTTTTAAAAAAAATTCAAGATTATGTAAAGTCAGAAGAAATTGAAGATGTAGAGCAGAGTTCCCCAACCTTTCCAGCTTTGTGGACTGATGGTGGGGGGGAGGGGAGAAGAGGGGATGGTTATACACGAGTGGCCAGCAAGTATACACAAACGGAGCACTCACTCGCGCAGATGGGGATGAGTACACTTCCGTGGCCCAATTCCGAATGGCTCATGGCCCAGTAGTGGGCCACGGTCCAGGGATTGGGGATCCCTGATGTAGATTCTTTTTTAAAAAATTAATTTTTAAAAAATTAATTTTTAAAAAATTAATTTTTAAAAAAATTAATTATGTTTGATGTTTGTCTTTTTATTGATCTGCAGCTTTCTGTCTTATGTTTGCTTTGTGCTGTCTTGCTTTATGTGGTTCAATAGCCAACCTTCTATTCAACATTATTTTTGAACCTCTCTTTGATTAGACTGTGATCCCATCAGGATTTCGAGTAGGGATGAAGCTTGAAGCAGTAGACAAAAAGAATCCTGCTTTCATATGTGTTGCTACAGTAACTGACATGGTGGACAACCGTTTCCTGGTTCATTTTGACAACTGGGATGAAAGCTACGACTACTGGTACAAGTGTTTTGATGATAGAATTTTAGAGATGCTATCATTTCTCTCTCCACCCCCCCCCCCTTTATATTGTCTTATTTTGTCATTTTTCTATTTAACTAGGATGGTTAGTTTTTTTTTAAATCACTTCTCTTCTAGAATAATTTTATATGTTACAGACCCCCTTAAAGAGATGTAGGTGTTGGTAGCAGTGTAAATAATAAAGGCCTAATAAATGTGAAAGTCGGAAAGAAAATAATCTGAAAGTTGGAAAAAAATACAGGCTAGAATACAAGAAAATATACTTGAAGTCATAGGAAAGTTTTTGAAAACTTTTATGTGGTCGTCCTAGGGTTAAGAAGTGGATGTGGAAAGGCAGAAACACACAAATAATGAAGCTGCTAACTTTTTGCAGTCTGCTGATGAAGCCTGGTGCGTTGTTATGCGAAAAGGGTTGAGAGACACAGGGCACTTTTTGAACCTGATGGGTAGACAGTCTGTAGAGATTCTCAGTCATCCAGGTCATGGTTGATGGGTAGAAAACAATTGAGAGTTGTTTCTGCCTCAGTTCAGATGGTTTCCTTCTTTACTTCCATCTCCTGCATACACCATCCAGTAAGAATTCTAGGAAGGGCCTTTTCAGGACACAAGGAACTGCTAGGAACCCCAACCACATTACAGGTAGTCCTCAACTTATAACAGTTCATTTAATTACAGCATCACTGACAAAAATGACTTACAATATTTTTTTACACTTACGACCGTTGTAGCATCCCCATGGTTACGGGATTTACATTCGGATGCTTGACAACTGACTCACATTTATGACAGTTGCAGTGTCTAGGAGTCATGCAATCCCCTTTTGCAACCTTCTGACAAGCAAAGTCAGTGTGGGAAACCAGATTCAATTAACAACCATGTCTTTAATTTAACTACTGCAGTGATTCACTTAAGAAATTTGGCAAGAAAAGCCGTAAAATGAGGCAAAACTCACTTAACAAATTTCTTACTTAACAACACAATTTTTTGGCTCAGTTGTAGTCATAAGTTGAGGACTATCTGTATGTACAGTGATTGCAATGGTAGATTTGAATGGATTTGCCAAGGGGATTGCTTTCCCATTGATTCACTCCATGGAATGGCTTTAATTTATAAAAGAGGCACCTGGTAACTCATGGGTTGGCAGAGTCTCAGAAGTCCTTAATATGACATTGTGACAGCTGGAGAACTTTTGAGATGCTTCCAAGGCAAAGCTTTGAAAGGGCAAAGTCTATGACTCCCTGGAAAACTATATTATAATTCAAAAAATACAAACACCCAGCCTATAATTTAAAGATTAATCCCAGCACCCTTCATAAAATGAGGACAGAAATTGCAAGAGCCAATTAAAATCTAAGGTAAATAGGGTCACACTTATTTCTTTAACAGAACCCCATTATGGCAGTAAAACTGATAAGCTGGCTCTTTAAAAGCTGCGATGGCACCATTAAATGAACTCCACAGAAAATATTCATCTTGTGCTATTAATGCTTAAATTTCTATTTGTGAATAGCCTTCCTATCCTCTTCTTCACATTCTTCTCCCTATCTACAAGTACTTTTGTTTTTTGTTTACCTTTGGGAGATAAAAGGTGGACTGCTAACAAAATGGCTTCCTTTAACACAAAACATGTATGGCTTGTAAAGTTTCTCCTCTGAACACAAGATGGGGCTATAAGATGATCTGTATATTTTAAGGGTATCCTTTAAATATAAACCAACAAAAATATTTACTTGATAATATTTATGAACTATCCTAATTTAAAAAATGAACAATAGGATGGGTAAGAGAAAAACACAGGCAGAAATTGCATTGTTTTTGTTTACTAATGCTGTAATAACTTTTTTAAAAAAGCAAACTATTAAAACTAGTATTTTGTATATAGTTTACTATTTTATTGTATTTATTTCTACATTTCATTATCTTCCTAACTTGTACTTACCTATGACACAGCTTTTTATAGAACAAAGACGTGTAATATAATGCAATTTTAATATTCATTTTTCACTTCTCTGTATACTTAAGTGTACTAGTATACTAGTGTCTAAAAAGATGTTTATGAAATATAATAAATACAATAAGAAAATTCAGTAACAATAAAATAAATTAGTTTCAAGTAATAAAAATATTCAGTTGCATCCAATGATGTGTGAAGCATCCATACAGGGCATTCTTTCTGGATTAGAAACTTTAGAAGTATAATATTGTTTGTTAGATTGCCTTAAATCAAATGTTTTTATTTTTCAAGCTTTCCTAAATATGTGTACACACTCTCTCTCTCTGAAAAAGCATTCCAATATCATAATTAATTCATTCAGTGTCCCCATTTAACAAGCAGTCCAGATGTTCATGTGTGCCCCACTGGCCTTGAACTATAATAGGAAAAAAATCTTAATTGCAATTAAGATATTTATAGGAAAGGTGCACAATTAATACAATATTTTTTCCTGCAGGTGTGAAGCAGCTAGTCCACATATTCATCCAGTTGGATGGTGCAAAGAACATAGAAAAACACTTGTAATTCCTCCAGGTCTGTATAATACATAACTACATATTTATTTCACTTGTTTAACATTTTTAATGAGAAATTATTAGAGTGCCAAAATTTAAAAATATCTCAATTTAAGAGTGAGCTATATTATGATTGGATAAGCTAGTTTCACATGCATTTTGGATAATGGTTCAGTAAAAAGGAAAAGATTTTAATTCCATGCAGAACTTACATGAATGAGAAGTTCATATGAGCAAATGATATATGAAAAAAGTGAAAAAGTTACCAGGAAAGCACTAATAATTAGAAATAAACCGTATAAATTACAAATAACATTTTGTAGTTATAAAATTAGAATGCAAATCCACTTATCGAACAACCTTTACATAAGCTATAAATATTTAACCTGTAAGTGAATTAATTGTAGTTTCTCAGGAACAAACTCTGTAATTTAGCCCACACATATCAATGGTGTAATTCATTGCCATAGTATGAGTCACTTGGAAAGGTGATACATTGAAAATTGTTACCTATTAACAGGACACATTTTATCAACACAGGAAACTTGAAATAGGCCTACTAGCATTAACAACTTTTCTCCCATTATAGCATTTAATATAAAACTTATATTAACGTTTATATACAGTCTTCACAGAAATTTTGTTTAGTTGAGCTTTGCTAAGAAATGGCTTTCCCTGTGAATATCTATACCTGTATTTCTCCGAAAATAAGACCCTGTCTTATTTTTTTTTGCCACCAAAAAAGGCACCAGGTCTTATTTTGGGGGAGGGGGGGGTCTACTGACTCACCTCACTTGCGTGCATCACCCCCAGCTGCCTTTTTGCTGTCGGAAGCCTTCAGGAACTGTTGTGGCCCGCCAGCGGCCAGCAGAGCTGGCAGCAGAGTCGGACAGTTGAGAAGGTTGGGGAGGAACTTGGGCCAGTCCTGCGGGCTGGGGAAAGCTTGATGAGGCCTCTGCATCAGAGGCAGAGAGGGAGATAGACAGCTGTGAGGCAGAGGAACAGCTGGAGCCCGTTTCCAGTGTGCGCATGCGCAGAGGTGCCAGAAGACAAGATCAAAGAGTGAAAGAGGTATTTATCTCTCAAGATGTGAGAGTTCCTGGAACAACTTCTGGAACTTAAACTGTTTCAGACTAGTAGATCTAGAGGGATTTTTTGGGAACTGTCTAATGGTTGTACAGAATTTTGCAGTCCAGATTTGGTAAATTGATTCCACTAAAGAAAACTCTTTGTAGAATACTTTGCAGTCAGAATAACATCCCTGCAGATGTTAGTGAATGGCAATTGAATACATCCAGTGCATGATATATTTAAATTTTGTATCATTATTTATCAATTAGACTACCCTCATGGCAAACATTTTTCTTGGGAAAAATATTTGGAAGAAACCAGTTCTTTACCTGCACCTGCTAGAGCTTTTAAAGTGGTAAGAAACATCTATTGTTTTTTTCATACTTATTCTGCTTATTATATACCACCACTATTGCTGCTGTGATCAATATTAATATCTAACCTTATGACCTTGTTGCTTTGACTTTAGATAATATTTTCCCCATGTTTAGAATTCAGCAGTAATTGGTCTTCAGCCAGATCCAACACCCTGACAATATCTGGATATATATATATATATTTTATTTATATGCCACCCTTCTCCGGAGACTCAGGGCGGTTTACAATGCGTTAAGCAATAGCCTTCATACTTTTGTATATTTTATACAAAGTCAGCTTATTGCCCCCACAAACCGGGTTCTCATTTTACTTACCTTAGAAAGGATGGAAGGCTGAGTCAACCTTGAGCCTGGTGAGAATTGAACTCGCTGTAATTGCAGGCAGCTGGAAGTTAAATACTACCTTTAACAGTAGCATTAGTCTGCTGCGCCACTCAGGCTCTATTTAAGATATTAAGACAATATCTTAACTTTTCTTTCTTCACTTTTTATCCTTTAATGATATTTCATGAAAGGAGAATGGAGGAAATGCACTACCTAAACATGGCTTATTTTCAGTTGATAGGTAGTTCTTGATTATGACCACAATTCATCCCCAAATTTCTGTTGCTAAGCAAAACAGTTATTAAGTGAGGTTTGCCCCACTTTATGACCTTTCTTATCACTGTTGTTAAGTGAACCATTACAATTGTTAAGTTAGTAATGGTTGTTAAGTGAATCTGACTTCCCCATTGACTTTGCTTGTCAGAAAGTTGTAAAAGGTGATCACATGACCCCGGGACACAGCAACTGTCATAAATACATGCCAATTGTACATGCCAATAATTGGTTACATGCCAATTGTAACCATGGGGATTCTGCAACAGTCATAAGTGTGGAAAACAGTCATAAGTCACTTTTTTCATTGTCATAACTTTGTCACTAAATGAATGGTTGTAAGTTGAAGATTACTTCTACCACTTTGCTTCCTGAACCAACACAAGAAAAAAGAGGATTTGTTAACTACTAGATACATGGCTTATTTTATTTTTATTTATTTATTTTATTTTTATTTATTTACTGGATTAAAAGCAATATATCTAAATAAGGTTTTTTAAAAAAATGTATATTATATTTACATAAATGTTAACATAAAACCGGGAGAAATATTCAAAAGAATAAAACAATTTCTTACTTGGGAGGGATAATTACAGTGAACCAATTTCAATGGTTTGATAGACAATCAAAATTTTCACTAATTTCCTGAAAGCCATGAGAGAGTGGCTACTTTGGTGTTGGAGCTGATATTCATTGATGGAAGAGGGCAACAACTGAGAAGGCATAATTTCATGGTCCCTGAAGATGGCAGTCTTTGATAGAGGGACACAACCTCCTACATCTTATCAGACGGACAGATGTTGCTAGGAGAAGATGATTCTGCAGAAACCCAAACCTTGAATCATATCAGATTTTTAAATGTGATAGGTAGCAACCGGAAGCTAACCAGTGTAACTCCTAGGCTAAAGGTGTTATGTGGGTACCATGAAATGCACATATAATTGCTTGACTTACTGTATTTTGGAACAATTGTAGCATCCAAATGCCCTTCAAGGGCCATGTAGAGTGTATTCCAATATTATAGTCCAATTAAGAAATCACTAATGCATGAGTGACAATGAGTAAGTGCCAGGGCCCTGTTGGCCACAGTTACTACCTGTTTTTTAAGAGTCCAAGGGATCCCAAATTGTCAATCAACTCAATAATGATTTTATACAGTTAATTAATATTTTATAGAATATCATCATCATTGGTTCCTTTCTCGTGAAGCACATAGAACAGCAAGCTTCTTCCAGTGAATCTTATCCTTGGCATAGAACATTGTGGTATAAATAATAGATACAAATTAAACTAAAAGTACTTTCCTCTGTTGTAGAAACTTTCTCATGGATTTCAGAAGAATATGAAACTTGAAGCTGTTGACAAGAGGAATCCTGCGCTTATCAGAGTAGCTACTGTGGTTGAAACAGAAGATCACAGAATTAAAGTAATTTATATTCTTTTTTTTTAATCTTTTGATTTTTAAACAGGAGCATCTATTACCTGCTGAACAATTATAAATGATAATACCTTATTACAATACTACTCTGATTTCTCTATTTACTTCATTTAATAGGAGGAACGTAGCTTCATCCTGTTGAATTTGTCCCCATTTTGATAAAGTCTATAACAATTTTAAGTTCCATGATTAGATATGAAAGTGGTTTTTTTTATTTGTGGTGGACTGATCTCAGATATATTACTCACCAGTTTTAACTCATCACCATGTGATGAGACATGATGCTCTCGCACATTCACAAGGCACCCTATAAATTTGCACTCTAAATCTCCAATAAACACATAAGCAAGACAAAAGCACTTTCTTTCTGTCTTTGTCAGTTTGCATGGATTGTGAGGTTTGCATCCTGTGGTGATACCATATTACACTTCACTCCTAATTGCACTGTTAATTTGTGCTGTCAGTAGTTGAAGAAAGAATCAACTGTTTTCAGTGTTAATCCAAATGTGATTGTACCAGCTGTTTCCACTGTTATACTAACATGAAGGAAATGACCCCTTAGTTTGCTAATTTGGTAAATTAACCATGGTTTGTGATTTCAGACCTACCAAGTTAATCAACATCATCATGACTTTTATCCAGAATTTAATCTCTTTTGAGTTATATTCTTAGCTCATAATTACTAAGTATTATGATTAGGATAAATCATAATGACAAATGACAGTGATTAGGATAAAGGGATTTCAGGATCTAAACATTTGATGCTTTGCTTTGGAATAGTTTGAGTACAATTTGGAACAATTTAGTTAAGAGAAATTTCAAGTAGTCTCAACTTACCACTGGTTGCTTAGTCACTGTTCAAAATTACAACTGACCACCCAAAAGGTACTTATGATTGGGTATGGGTGGTGGTGGGGGGAGTACCTGTATTTATAGCCATTTGCAGCATCCTTCAGTCACATGACCATATTTTACTATGTTTTTGCCAAAAACGGGCATTTACTGCTGGGTTTTGGCCGAAGCACCCCATAGCAAACCTTATACCATTTCTGACATTTGTTATAACCTATTCCAATTCTGATGAGCATTTGGCAGGCTTCAGAAAAAAAATGGGCTGAGCTGCATTTAGCATTGGGAACCAAACATCATTGAAGATTGAATTTGGAAACATCTGAAAACTTTAAACTCATGCATTAAAAATTTAAAGGGTTTGTTAAAATATAACTGGAATTGTTATCTTGGCAAAATAAATATAAAGCCATAATAATTAGTACAAACACAATTTTGTGTCATTTTTTCTTTATAAAGCTTTAATATAAAAATAAATAACCTAATTTTTATATAAAAAAGAAAGTAGTCCCTAACTACAAGGATCTCAACATTCTATATCTTTCTGTTTTAGATCCACTTTGATGGCTGGGATAGTATTTATGACTATTGGATTGATGCAGATAACCCAGACATACATCCTGCAGGCTGGTGTGCAAAAACAGGACATCCTCTTCAGCCCCCTCTTAGTAAGACAATAAAAATGCAAAAATACAATAAATATTTACCAGTCTGTTTTCTTCTGCCTTGACAAAATAATGTGCTGTGACAGAGCCAAGTTGTGTACTAAATCATTCATAGAGTGATTGCAAAGTCTATGGAAATCAGTGGATATCTTGCAAAACACTTGATAATTGAATTTAATATTTGTGGGTATTCTGATTTTCAAGAAGAGAAAATGTATACATGTTTACTAACCCATGATAAGAATTCCAGGTGGATTTCTTCAAAGTCATAGAAATCATTCTTTTATCTATACTCAGATGATTTGATTGAATAGGCAGTCCCATTGTTGCAATGTAATTCAAATATTTTATGTTCATTTGGACTCTCTTTAGCATTTAAAAAGAGATCAAAGGTTTTTTTTCCCCCATCATTTATATTCTCTTGTAGACTTGGGCATTTTATGGCCCACATCCAACCCTTCACTAGGGAAGGAGGGGCAGGATGACGGTCCTCCACAACCGGGCCGTTTCTCATGTGTCACCATCGGAAAATTAATTGCCCACCCCTGTGTTTTGAGTAAATATGAAGCTAATGTTGAAGTTGGTTTTTGTATTGTTTGTCTAGGTCCACTGGAATTAGTAGAAGCTTTAGAACAAGGAGGGTGCCCTACAGCAGGCTGCAGGGGAGTTGGACATATAAAAAGAGCCAGGCATATGGGCCATCACAGGTATGTATTATGAAGAACTGGTGCTTCAGTAGCTCAGCAAGAGGTGCCCCATTAGAATAAGGCTGTGAATTTGATTTAATTGCTGTCCATGAGACAAGATGTTATTGCAAAAAAAAAGGACAATCAAGTACTCATTTATTTAGATTGCTATGATGATCTTCACTCAATTGCATGACTTCATTGTGACCAGAATATAAAACCTGATTAAGTGAATGCTCACCATAGATCAATGATGTTTTAACTAATATGATGTTCCCTAGTAAGAGATTTCTCCTTAACATTCAGTTAGGTTTATTTGCCTCTTGAATATGGTCCTTATTTTGGGTGGAGCTGTTAGTTTGATTCCTTAATGAAAATCAAAATCTCAGTGTGTATTGGCATTAAAGCTTTAATCTGGTAGCCTCACAATATAGTATTTTTTTTTCATAATTTTATTCTAAGTTATAAACCAAATATTTGAAGTCTATAGGTTATTATAAGTCAAAGTTCAACAAAATGTTTCAGCTGTATTGAAATTGATCAGTAAATATTATGCATTTGTCATTTGACTAAATCACAATTCCAGTATTTATCCAGTTTCAATATTTTACAATGAATATGAAAACTAATACTCTTCTTTAGCCTTCAGTTTTTCAGATCCTCTCATCTTTATGGGATATCAGAAAGAATACCTTTTTAAAAATTCTATCTGCATTTGCTTTTCGGTCAGGGCTGCCCCTTCCCCTTGGATGGGTCTTGACTAGAATACAGATTTTACCTTTTGCCTAAATACATGTTTATTTGTATTTGAATCATGAATGCCTGTAGACCAATAACCAAGAAAAATACATTCAATGACCAGGCATTATATTGATTCTAACTAACCCACTTGGCTAAATTAATAGTTTTGAAGAATTAGGGTTACTGGGTTTCATTTTTGCCTCTTAATAAATTGTGGGCTTAAATATTTTCCTTAAGATGGAATGGAAAATAGCATGTGTAGAGGGAGTCAATAAATACATACTACATTTATTATTGTATTTTTTGAATATCAGTTCTAGGAAATAAGAGCAGAAGGGTGCTATTATCTTATGGGCGTCCTGTCAGCAACTAGATGGCTACTATGACTAAGAATAAGGAACTAAACTATTAAAAGCATGCTTTTATTTAAACCACAAAAATAGTTGTAATAACTTGTATTTTCTGCTACTGTGGTTTGTAATTTAAAATGGTTACAAATTTGCTATACAAAAAGCATTGAAATATAAGAATGTAAGTAGCACTCAGGGAACTAACATAATATTGATATCTCTCCCTGAGCAAATCCATTTTGTCCCTGAACTCTCAAATCGAAATTCCATTTGAATTAACAGAGGAGGATAAAATGGGTATAGTCATTCACATCAGGCTTCAGTCCACTCTTTTTTTAAAAAAAATCTCTGTTGAAACTTTTACTTAAATATACTTTTGGAAATGTTCATGACAAGGTGCATTTATGTTGTCAAGTAAATGTCTGAAAGCAGGTTGATCAGTCATTTTCTGATAGCACAATGCTTAAGTTGGATGAAAATGTGCAATGACAAAGTATGACAGGGCTAAAATGAATGTCTTTTTAAATGCAAATGTTAATTGGGACCTCGGGGTTCTATAGTAATAAAAAAGATTCAGATTTGCATACAAATGAATTACTCAATATCTTGTGTTTCTTTATGAGAACTCCATATTATATGCTATATGGAGTAGAGTAGACGTGCCAATTGTTTTGTAACTTAAGTTACTAAAGTTATTTAATAAGTTATTGTCAAGTTATTATCCAAGTTATTAAACTACATACAAATTATCCACAAAGACAAAACGACAAAAATAAGAATATTTTCAATTGTCTGGGCCTACCAGTAGTTAGCAATAGCATATACAAGAGCCAACATGCAAGATGGAATATAGGTAACCCTTGTATTGAGCTCAGAATTTTGGTCATAAGTCATTTGAATTGTAGATCAAGTCGCCATATGACCAGACTAAACTTTACAACCATCTTTACAATGGTTGTTAAACAAGTCATGTGGTTGTCGCTCCAAATCCAACTCATCCGATAATTTCCCCCCCCAAAAAAAATCTATCCAAAAAGCTATCCAAGGAGCCTGGATAGCTCTGCAGACAAGGCACTGTAATTTAACACCAGCTGTCTGCAATTAAACTAAGTTTGGCTCAAGGTTGATTCAGCCTTCCATCCTTTCTAAGGTAGGTAAATTGAGGACCCAGTTTGTGGGGGCAATAAGCTGACTTTGTATAAAATATACAAAAGTATGAACGTTATTGCTTAACGCATTGTAAGCTGCCCTGAGTCTCCGGAGAAGGGCGGCATATAAATCAAATTAAAACAAACAAACAAACAAACAAACAAACCCAAGCCTGTAAAACTCCCCATAAAATGTGATTGCAGGATGCTGCAATTGGTTGTAAATGCTAGCTAGGTGCTAAGTGCCTCAAATATGATCCCATGACCACAAGGTCATACGGCAATCAATAGCTTTGAGTCCAGGTCATAAATACAATTTTTCAAGTCTGTCATAACTTAAACAGTTGTTAAGCAACCAGTTGTAAGTCAGTGATTACCTGTATCGCATAATTTAAAATATTTGGGAGAAAAAATGGGCCATATCATGGATAACAAATTACCTTCTCTTGGGAGGACATTCCACATTTAAGCTTCATTATTAAACATTATTTTAACTGCAATTTTCCATATTTGATGAGGGTATGTGGGAAAAGGACACTCACTGAACATTGCTTGAGATTTCAGCAAGACATAACCGCAGATAGTCTTTAATTATATAATTTGTCTTCTGAGTTTTCAGACTCATACTGGAGCCCATCCTCAGGGAATTTCTCCCAAAAGAGTGGGTGCTTGACTATTCTGTATTCTGTGGATATGAATACTACACACAGAATAGCCCAAAGCACACACTCTACTAGAGAGAAATTCCCTGTGGATGGGCTTCAGTATAAGTTTGAAAGATCAGACGATTAAACTTCCAGTCCCGGTGGTTGACTCAGATTGGATCCTGCTATAATATTGATTTTTATTTTTCTCATTATCCTCTCCCAATTTCTCATTTTGATCCTATTCCTGTATTATGTTTTAAGGGAATCCCCCAACAGTAAACTAGCAGAGTGTGAATAGCTTCCGTGTTTTCCCCAAAATAAGGCCTAACCGGAAAATAAGCCTTAGCATGATTTTTCAGGATGCTTGTAATATAAACCCTACCCCCAAAATAAGCCTGTTAAGATCATCAGCCAAACAGATGCATTTAGTACCTGTATTTCCCTGAAAATAAGACCTAATGGGAAATTAACCTTAATGTGTCTTTTGGAGCAAAAATTAATATAAAACCCGAACTTATTTTCAGGGAAACACAGTATAACAAGACTTCATTTGGTAGACTTCTAGATATTCTATTAATCTGAGTAAATCAAAATCTGTGCATCAGGTTGCAAGAATCTTTCAAAATGCAAATATAACCTTTTAGAAGAAAGCCATTCAATCCAAAGCGGCCAGATAATGGACAAAGCACTATAATCAATATCTCTACAATAGTAGTGGGTTGATTTCTTTTCTTTTTGTCCTCCATCCATCTGAGTGTAATCAACATATTGGTGACCTCTTAACATAATGAATAGAAATAGGAATAAGAATAGAATAGAATACTTGACTGTCACTAATTGGCATACATTAAAATTAAATTATGTTGCATACACTAGAAATCTCTCAATAATTTCATGTAGATGTTGAAATTTCACTTTGTTTTGAGAAATTAAGTCTCCATTTCAGGGAGGTTGGATGGGTCAGGAATAAGTATGGGAGAAAGGCTGAGGCACAAGATTCTATTACAGTTGTTAAGAGGTTTTTCCCTCACATTTGTTCCTATCACTCTATTTTTATTTGGAAGGATTAATCCATTCATTCCCCATTTTTCTAGTATTTCTTAGTTTTGCTTAGTGCTCTTAGAAATGTACAGTGTATGTACACTGCAATAAAGTTATCAAAGAGTTAATACAGAAATACTGTTGTTTCTTTTGCTTTGTATTGCATTGAAACTAGGTGATAACATTAAGAGCTCTATTATTCTATTAAGCATGCTTACGATCTGTGTAGTACTTACTTAAATTTAAATCCTAAAAGCCTGAAAAATCCCTTCTTTAGCAAAATTGCTGTCAAGCGAATTGTATAACTCTTATTCTTCACAAACATCCAATGTTCATGTTTTACTTGAAGGGGATATCCAATCCCATTGTGTTCAAAGGCTCTGCTTCAATTTATGGAGTAAATCAATTCACATTCACTCATTAATAAAAGGCTTGTTATATAGAAGCTTGGAGCCTGTCTTTACTCACTGTTTTTAAAAAAACTGTTGGCTTCAAAGGATAGACAGAATGGAAAATGGTGGTTGATGGCTAATAGTCCATTGAGCTAATAGCCAGGGATTAAGATAAGTGAAGTCAATAGTAGATGGAACTAATTAATTCTACTTTTCTTTCCATTCTGCATCATTGCAAAATCATTAAGAACTTTTCTATGTATACGCAATCAAAACTGAAGGTCTTTATTTCAAATGTTGCTTCTATCCTACAGGGCTGCAAATTTATATATAATAAAATGAACGTAATTCTCTTGTTCACAATGAGGCTTTTATCTTTAATACAATAGAAAGGATTGAAAAAATAGCATATTAACTGTGTGAGGAAAATCCCAGGCTAAGCATCATAATGGAGACAGAAAACCTACTGCACATGCACGGGTCAGCAGGGAACTATGGAAGAAAGAAATAATAGAACTTTTATACTGCTTGGCTAATTGAAGCCCATCACATAATGCATATTATATTATAGCAGGGACTATAATACCCTGGTCTCAGGGTATGTATATTCAAGACTGCATACATGTTTGTGCATATAGACATGTGACTCCCATGCAACTACATACACATATTGGGCTGAGTTGCTGTATTTATGTTTATCATGTTGATTTTACACCTCATGAAGAAAGCTAGTTCAGTAGAACAAAGGCAGTTCCCAAAGTCCTAAGTCTAGTCTTTATCCCTTCCAGACTTGTGGTACAATACTGATTTTATTTGGCATGAATTTAGTTGCTTGCCCTTCCTTCCTTCCTTCCTTCCTTCCTTCCTTCCTTCCTTCCTTCCTTCCTACCTACCTACCTACCTACCTACCTACCTACCTACCTACCTTACTTACTTACTTACTTACTTACTTACTTACTTACTTAAATTTATATGGCAACCTACTCTGGTTGGCTTATAAGCAGAAAAACACAGTATAAAAAAATAAAAAACGATAATATCTCCCCCCTCCCCTCCCAGAACAACACACAGTCAAATGAGCCACTTGATAGGCTCCATCCCACTTTGGGTTCCCAAGTCTTCAACGCCTTTTGAAATAGTGTCAAAGTGGGAGCTAGTCTAATTTCGTGAAGGGATGATGTGCCAAAGGAAGGGAGCCACCACTTTATGAGTCTTTAGCAACACAGGCCTGCTGACTTAGGAGTCTAAGAATTTAACATCTGACTTTCTGCATGCAACTATTTATCACAGTTATTTCCATGCTCTCATTCCAGGGGTGCTATTCAGCAGGTTCTGACAGGTTCTGGAGAACCGGTAGCGGAAATTTTGAGTAGTTCGGAGAACCAGCAAATACCACCTCTGGCTGGTCAAAATGAAGATTTTGCAATATTCTTCCCCCAGGAGTGGGGAGGGAATGGAGATTTTGCAGTATCCTTCCCCTGCCACGCCCACCAAGCCACGCCTTACTACAGAACCTGTAGTAAAAAAATGAATTCCACCACTGCCTCATTCATATTATTGAACTTGAATAAATGGGCATGCCTCTTTTGAGCATAAAATGATCAGGATGAAAAGGATCCACTGACTTGTAAGAAAGTGACAAAATATATTGACTCTTTGTGGATGATGAAAGTCAGTGAAATGATAAATATGTCTTCTTTGAAAAGAAGGCATAATGCTTAAATCTTCAAATAATTGCAGAAAAATGGTATGAGCAAAAATAGATTAATATGAGAATGAAGGTTTTCTTGAATGCACAGCTTTAATTTAAACCTCAAAAAGCATAGTGTTATGGACTATTAAAAATGAGCTAAACATTACACAAACTAGACTGCTTTTGTGGCTAACGTTTCATAATGAATAGGCATTTGGTTAGAACTCTCAAGATAATTTTGTCACAATGAGTGAAATGTGAGATAGTTTGTGGAAAAATGTCAATGGCTTTGGGAGAAAAAGAAACAGCAGATAAAATGTTAGGATTTTTTAAAAAAAACTTATATGAAGAAAGGCCTTCTTGGGTGGAAAAGAATTAACATATTTCATGAAATCAAGTGCTTCAGTTTATTGTCTAAGAAAAACCTTACTGAAATGTTTAATAAACCCAGTAAAAACTAATGCAAACTAAACTGGGAAAAGGTCCAGAAAAAAGAAAAGGAAAAGGATAAAAACAACAACAAAGACTATAATAAAGAATTGGCTTCCAACGTTTATGACACTGAGCATAAACTAATTTCTGCTCATTTTAATAATTTCCTGACTTCAGAAAAGAATATTGAAGGAAGGCAAGTAGGCAACAGTAAAATCTTTGGATTCAGTAATATTATGGTATCTTTGCTGATTTCATAAACAGGGTTATCTTTTCAAAAGTTCGGGGAAAATAAAGCTGGCTGCTTTTATCCGAAGAAGCTAAATTGAGGAATAGAGATACTGAAGATTAGTATCTCATGGAACAATAGGATGGAGGTGAGATTTTTAAACTGTCTTTTGGGGAACCTTCAGATTCCTCGAGCAGTTAATGAGGTTCCATGAAAGACTAAAAAAATGTATTCCCTTGAAGATTGCCAGTTTTCTATTAAGAGCTTTGCCTCTTGATCAGATTAAAGTGGGTTTTTTTTTTAATGAACAGCTCCACAACCTGAAAGTTTGAAAAACCTGAGATAGACTGTGATCCTTACACTGATATTTGTAATTACTTTTCTTTCCTCTTAGGAGAACTTATAAAATGCAAGACATCTGTTTCATATATTTTTCTTGTCATGTGGTACAACAGGGCAATAACATTTAGCTAAAATAACAAGCTTCTCTCTCCCCTTCCCTCCTTCTCTCTCTCTTTCTGTGTATGTATGTACAGTGTGTATGTGTATGTGTGTGTGTGTGTACACACACACACATATATATATACACACACACTCACTCAATAGTATTAATGGTCCAACAAAAAAGAAAGGAAAAGGAGAAACAACCAATTTGTATTCATAATTCTTGCTATCCTCTCAGAGTACTGCATTATTTTGCTCATTCCCTTAACCTATTGACCCTTGAGAATATGGCTTTCTTATTTCTAATAATAAAGAAAATATTTGTCTTTAAATTATAAATATCCATCACAAATATAATATGCTTCATAACAAGCTTCTCCGAAAATAAACATTGTATGCTTTAACATACTTGGCAGAAAGTGATGCTGCTGTTAGGAACACAAGGCATTTATTCCAAGTAATTGCAGAGAAATTGTAACCAGTATGATGTTTGTTTCAACTAGGAAGTTGCTTTAGTGTCTAATCTTCTGTTTTTTCTTCTCTGTCTCTAATTTTCAGTGTGATCAACTGCCCATATTCTGAAATAAACCTGAACAAAGAGCATACTCTGTCGGACCGTTTAAGTGGGGAGACCCCTCTAAATAATCCACCTATGCATTGGAATCGAAAGTCAGAAATAAATGAAAGATCAGCCTCTCCTATAATCAAGTAATTGTCAATGAAATTATGCTCAAATTATTTATTGTACTGTATGTGTTTTACTGTGGCAGAACCTGAAGCACATATGTCGTCTTGTGTGGTGTTTGTTTCAGGATGCAGAGACAAACTCAAAAGGCCGTAACTGATATTTTTTTAAAAATGTGAATTATTTAAGTAAGTTCATTTTGTACTTGTGAGAACAACTTGGAAGTTCTTTTGATTCATCAGTATATATTTCTAAAACTGAAATTTAGAGAAGTGCTTTAGGTCTCTTGTAAGGCTCTAGTTATTCCCAGGGGATTTCGGTTTTTTTCTTCCTCTTGAGCAGCTTAATCCCATATGTCATCAGAACATGTGTTTGAATCTTTCTACATTTCGAAAAGAAAAACCATGGGGAATTGCTGTTCAAGAAATAACAACCCCAAATTCCATTGGGCATTGGGAACAAATTGCAGTGATTTCAATCCTGATAAGTATAAATGTCTTTTGTTGATGGCATATACCGATTATACACATGCTTATATTTATAATGCATGGTTTTATTGAAGACAAATCCTTCACCCAGAGGCACCCAAAGCTGGGGAATTGAGTTACACATTTTCTCTTTTTGTGAGAGTAAATGTATATGTTAAGGCAGTAGTTCTTCACCATGGATCCCCTTTAAATACCTTTCGTGGCCATGGTCCATGGCCATGGACCACCAAGACACTTAACTCAAGAGCTAAATGATAACATTTCTTTAAGTCTTTGTGAACCCTCTGTGATGACATCGCAGACCCCCCAGGAATCCACAGACCACAAGTTGAGAACCATTGTGTTAAAATAGACAATCAATAGAGCAGAGCCATGCATGGAGGTGCAGTGGTTAGAATGCAGTATTGCAGGCTAATTCTGGCGACTGTTGGCAGTTTGATTCTTACTGGCTCAAGGCTGACTCAGTCTTCCATCTTTCTGAGGTTGGTAAAATGAGGACCCAGATTTATTATTTGCTTTAACATTCAGTTGACGGGCATTTCTTAATTATCATTGAATTTTCTTTTATTACTTGCACTTGTTTTTAAATAAAATAGATTTGAGATGCGAATGAATACGTAGAAAATGATACGTAAGGCTTTGAAAATCTGACTATGTGGACCAGCCTAGATCCCTGAGTGTGTAAAGGACACTATTTTCTGCTTATATCGCCATAAATGAATTATATCTCCTGGCTGCTATATGTATTTAATTTCTGTTTTTGCATTGTTTTAACTTTTTTATTGTTTGTATGATTGTTTGCTACCCAGAGTCATTGGTTTGATATGGGTAGCTATACAAAATGAATGAATGAATGAAATACTAGGTCAGTTTCTGAGATCTTGGATTTATAAATGCTTTTTAAAAATAGTCAGGTTTATGCTAATTATATTTAATTAATAAATAAGAGATACTCAGTAATATTCAGCTTTATTTTCCAGTTTAAGTTTTGCATCAATGCATGATTTTAAATAATTGCTCTTTTTTATATATATAACAGTAACAGAAAATGTCCCAGTCCCAGTCACACAGGAGTAAAGCCTGCACCTCATTTACAATCTTCAAAGGAAGAAGATACAGATGTGAAACTTCTTTGCAAAAATCCTTTAATATGTGACGTCAAAGAAGAAAACTACAGGTATCTATCTGTTTCTCCCCCACCCCCACCCACCCCCATAATGTATACTTTGGCTCTGATCTATGTAATCTGTATACCATTATTTGCCGCTTCCCAGAACAAAACCTTTTATTCAGGACCTTAATTGTATCATGTAAATGATCCAACCTACAAATCCATTTGCTAATTTTTTGAAAGTCGTTCCTAAACGTTTTGTTGTAGGCTTATAAATGAGGATGGTATCATTCACTACTAGATATTGTAGTATTTCTAGTTAGTACATAAGGTTAAAGGATTTTGACTGGAGGGATCCAGGAAGAGAGCCTTTTCTGCCATTGCCTTTACCCCCAGAAGTGACCCCCATCCCCACCCCACCGGGCCTTCAGAAAGAGTTTTAAGGTCTGGCTCTGCCAATTGGCATGTGAGTCAAAGAGTGATGTGCAGCTATGGCGCTGTTGGTATGAGTATGTTCTCTCCACCTTTGTAACTGTAACTTTTAATATTTTAACTCTAATCTTTTTAACTCTGTTTTTAACTTTGTTCTTATTTATGCTTTTATATCATGATAGCTTTTTTATTGTAAACTGTCCAAGGTCACTTAGATGAGTTGGCTGGTGTAGAAATGCGATGGATAGATGGATAGTTGAATGAATGAATGAATGAATGAATGAATGAATGAATGAATGAATGAATATAAGGATAACTTATCAAATGCTTATCAAGTACTTAGGAGGCAAGGGCTTGGCAGAACAAGGAAACAACAGCCAATGCCTTAATAGCCAGCCATCAACATCCCAATTCATCATCTAAAAACCCACATACAGCAGGCACCATATCAATATCACACAAAGAATAGCCCAAAGCACACACTCTGCTAGAAAGAAGTTCTCTGAAGATGGGCTCCAATACCAGTCTGAAAACTCCGAAGGCCAAACCTCTGGTCCTGATGACCGACCCAGATTGAATCCTGGATATTCTGAAACCTTAACGAAAAGAATACTTATATTTGCCATTTAAAATTATAAACACACAAACTAGTAACAACTTCATCAAGTTGTGTGCTTGTAGAAAGTCAGCTCCACAAATGACCTAATCCCTTAATCATTATAAAAAATGCAAGATGTAGTCAAACATATAGCATACGGGGGAAAAACCCTCTTTCCTAATATTAATCATTATGTGACGATAGAGTGCAGTGCAGTGCATTGAAGTGATGCAGGAAACCCTATAAAGACATTAGCAAGTTTTATGAATAACTATTTGTTAAAAATAGATAAAATTAGGCTCCTGATAATGTCTTTAACATCAGTCTAACTAGCAGGGGCAATCAGAGAGAGGATCCTAAAAGTCAAGGGTACAGCTGTGACCATTCAATCAATCGTATTGGCAAGAAATCAGTTTGGTGTTTGTGACCTTATAATTTAAGCCTCATTCTATTTTATGTTCATTGCACATGTAATGCAACATCAAAAACAAACAAATAAACAAATAAAAGAGTGGGGCTTCACTTTCCAGGTTGACCACTTTGACTTAGTTGACCATGCCCTTTGCACTAAGTTTGAGCAATATTATCATGTATAAACGGGCATAGAATCAAGATCAAGTGAGGTATTAGTGCCGCTTTACAAAACCCTAGTAAGACCACACCTGGAATACTGCAACCGGGTTTGGTCACCATACTACAAAAAAGATGTTGAGACTTTGGAAAAAGTCCAGAGAAAAACAATTCAGGTGATCAAAGGCCTGGAGACTAAACCATCTGAAGAATGGCTGCAGGTTTTGGGTCTGGCTAGTCTAAAGAAAAGAAGAATTAGGGGCGACATGCTAGCAGTATTCCAGTATTTGAGGGGCTGCCACAAAGAAGAGGGGGTCAAATTATTTTATAAAGCTCCAGAGGGCAGGACAAGAAACAATGGTTGGAAACTAATCAAGGAGAGAAGTAACTTGGAATTAAGGGGAAACTTCCTAACAATGAGAACAATTGACCAGTGGAACAGCTTGCCTTCAGAAATTGTGGGTGCTCCATCACTGGAGGTTTTTAAGAAGAGATTAGACAGTCACTTGTCTGAGATGGTATAGGTTCTCCTGCTTGAGCAGGGGGCTGGACTAGAAGACCTCCAAGGTCCCTTCCAGCTTCTATTCTATTTTTTTTTTAATTTGATTTATATGCCGCCCTTCTCCGGAGACTCAGGGCGGCTTACAATGCGTTAAGCATTCTATTCTATTCTATTCTATTCTATTCTATTCTATTCTATTCTATTCTATTCTATTCTATTCTATTCTATTCTATTCTTAAAAGAAATGTATTGTAGTCCTTCATTTACCTATAGAAAGTCTTCTGCCTTTTTTTCTGCAGGTACAGAGGTTTATTGCTTTAATTTAAAAAAACAATTCTTTGTGTATGAAAGAAAAAACAAAATAATATCACAGCACTAATAGCAATAAAGACAGAGGAAAACCGCTGCTTGAGAATTTGATGTGGTTATTATGCTACAGATAGTATAATGAAATATCCCAGAGTTAATATTAAAATGTACTATATTCATAACATCCATAGTATTAACTAGTTATAACAACCTATGACTAGGGAGAAAGCATCGGGTTGGGAAAGTTAATTGCATGCAGTTCATATTTCACAGCACTGTCTGGATTACTCTAGCATCATATTTAATTAAAAAGCAATTCAATCCCTTGAAACCTGGATCAAATTATTTTCAGCAATTATAATGTCTAGAAGCTTATTTTTCAATATTAGTGTCCTCCTAGAAAGGAGAACAGAAGAACCAAAAATGAATATTCAGTCTTTTCCTAATTATTAGGAAATTCTGCAGATCAATGGCAAGTACTATCACAGAAATTCTGTGTTCATTTTAAAACTTCATTAAAAAGTGTCTTTACCATTTTAATGCTAATATTCTATTTATATCTTTCGTTTCTTTTTGCATTTCCATATTCAGAATGTAAAATATCTCATTCTTCCTGTCACATTTGTTTCTCAAGTCTAGACTATTTTTAAATGCACATCAAATATCTTTGAAAAAGGTGTAACATAGCTAGAAATAAGAAAAATATTAGGGATTAATTGGCACCTAAAGTAGTAGCACTTTTTAAAGTAATCAATAGCTTAACAATGACTACATTTTCCTGGAATAAGTGTCTTAGTCTCCAGAAGTCAGATGCTTCACAAATGTGAAGAAGTGCAACCCAAACACTTCTTTTTTATTAGTTGAACCAGCCAAACCTTTTGAGGATTTCATGTGCTGCTTAGAAAGTGAAGCTTCAGAAACTGAAGCAACCACGAGTCTTAAACCAGTGTTGGCTATTTTGAAGGGTTGAAGAGAGATGCTTTATTTGCGGTTCTCTTTTCCTGCAAAGTCCAGAGAGCTGCAAATAAAGCAACTGCCCAGCCCTATTACATGGCTGGGTAGTACAGTTTTTAATGGTGATTCCAAATTGCCTTGCCCTTCCAAAGACACATGGATGCACTTAATCCCCTACATATATGCATAACCAGAAACTGATTCCCTGAAACTGGTACATGTAAATGTTCACAGATGAACAGCCACTCAACGTTCACTCATACATCACATTAAATCATATTAGATCGTATTAAGCCATGCTTAAGAATTAGGTAGGGTCACAACACATTAAGTTACAAACAATGATTTATACTTCACAGGAGCCATATCGTCACCGCTACTGGCTCAGCCGAACCGGACCAAACCGGGAGGAACCCACCACTGAATCCGCCCTTTAATCATGCTTGTTTGTTTTTTTCACATAATTGCAGTTGCAAAAGGAGGTACTGTATAGCTAACCAGTTTTATTTTTACTTACAAACACAGGAAAATAAAGTAAATGAATCCAAGGAACAACATTTTTTTATACAAGGAGTTCATTTCTTAATGCATTTTATACTCCTTAGTCGCTTTTATCACAATTAACATTTAAAAATCAAAAAGATATTTCTGTTGCTAGCAAGCATGTCAAAAGTGAGTTGGTGAAGAGTCCTGCTGTTGTACAGCTGGATAGCCTGCTGTTGAGATAAAAACGTCTTCTTTTTCAGCACATTTAGTTTCATGCATTTCCACATTAAATGAAGGACACTTAGGGCACTTTCCTTTCAGGCTGAGCAGCAAATGGTTTCTTTATCTAGTGGCACCTTGCTATAGGCTCATATGTGGAGCTTGCAAATAAATATGATAGTTGCGCTGCTCACACAGCAATGCTAAGCCAAAATTGTTAAAGAAAAAATAATGGTTTGGTTCAGCTGTAACATAATTCCCCATGCTAATCTATAAAGATAAAAAATTGCTTTATGACTTAGTCTTGTGTGTCACCAGATCCATTGATAGCAAACACAGAATTCCAATATAACTTGCCTTTTTGCTTGATATGTTTGAATATAATTTTTTTCTCTCCCGATAAACATCTAAATGTACCACCTGCCAGCAGACTCTGGCAAGAAACTGCTTTTTGCCCACATTCTTACTTCATCTGCATGGCTAATTAAAAAGGAATGATGCTTCAGTATGAAACAGCTTATGGCTTGGCATAATTTCCTAGGCCTGAAAATAGTTCAGTCATTTTTCTGGAGTGTAATGGGATACTGTAAATTTAACTGGAGGATCTGAAATGTCTTACGTTTGACAGCTGTGCAGTAGAATATATCGTGTAAAGGTGGCAGGAAAATTATTATGTACAAATTATCCTGAAAAATGCTAGTTTTTCCTCACTTGTTTTCAAGGTTGTCAACTCTATGCATCTTTAGTAGTCATACACCAAAGTTTTCTGTTTGACATTACTTCGTTATGAAGTTACTCATTCAGAGAATGATAATGACTCCCCACTGTTCTTCAGTACTTCCTCTCTCTGAAATCAATTCCAGTTAGTAGTGATAGGGTGGAGAGACATCCAGCCCTAACTTTCTACTTTGTAGTGTGCCAGAGGAGTTGATTCTCCCCCTACTCCTGTTGTACATGTACATGAAACTGTCATCCATCAGGGTCATCCCTCAGCATGGGGATAAATGTCATCAGTACAATGATAATACTTAGTTGTACACCTCTATCCCAGATCATCCAAATGAGGTGTTTTCCTAATGCCTGGAGGAAGTATTTATTTATTTATATTTATTAATTTAATTTCTATACCGCCCTTCTCCCGAAGGACTCGGGGCGGTGTACAGCCAATTAAAACATAATATATATACATCGATTTAAAAACCAATTAAAAGTAAATAATTTTGGCTCAGAATTAAAACCTAATTAAAACACCCAATTTAAAATCATTCACAAAGATAGCCCAGCCCAGTAGAGTTTTAAGAGCGCAGCGAAATACACAGAGATCAGAAATCTTACGTATTTCCAGGGGCAGTTCGTTCCAAAGGGCAGGAGCACCCACAGAGAAGGCCCTCCCCCTGGGTGTCGCCAGCCAACATAACTTGGCCGATGGCACCCTGAGGAGCCCCTCTCTGTGGGAGCGAACTGGCCGGTGGGAGGCTACTGGCGGCAGAAGTCGGTCTCGGAGGTACCCAGGCCCTAAGCCATGGAGCGCTTTAAAGGTGGTAACCAACACCTTGAATCATACCCGGAAGACCACTGGGAGCCAGTGCAGCACGCGCAGGAGAGGTGTTATATGGGCGTAACGGGTCGCACCCATAACTACCCGCACGGCCGCATTCTGGACCAGTTGGAGCCTCTGAGTGCTCTTCAAGGGGAGCCCCATGTAGAGAGTCTGGGTCTGGTTGCGGAAATCTTGGCTTCAGATCAACCCTTGCTGTACAGTCCCTCAATTTGCCATCATTAAGTCTGAATAGGGATACACTGCCATAGGCAGAGTTGATGCACCGCGAGAGGTTTCTACCAGATTCATGACTCCAGCTTGAGGAGTTTTTGTATAAATACATATTATTCACATGTTGCATCTGTTCCTAAATTGAAAGGCATTGCTCGCAGCCACTCACATTTTAGATGTTTCTTGGAAAAACTGTTGCAATGTATTCCACGTGAGGCTGCCTTTGAAGACCACTTGGAAGTTTCAGCTGGTCCAGGACATAGCAACAGCTGTAATTTTGAGCGTATCATGGTATGTCCATATAACACTGGTACTATATGGATTCCACTGCTTCCCAGTAGGCTTCTGGCTAACGGTCACTTTTAAAGACCTACATGGCACGGGGCCAGACTCCCCAATTCCAGTGGTTTCTGCCCATCTCACAATATCTGGCACAGTGAGTGTGTTCTGGGTCCCCTAGTGAAGCAGTGTCACTGCTGGGTCCCAGAAAGTATGCTTTCTCTGTCATGGCAGCTGCCCAATGAAGCAGTTTCCCCTGATATGTGGTTGGTCTCTTTTAGAAGGCTGTGAAGCAGTGGTGAAATTCAATTTTTTTTACTATCGGTTCTGTGGGCATGGCGTGGTGTGGCTTGGTGGGCATGGCAGGGGAAGGATACTGCAAAATCCCCATTCCCTCCCCACTCCTGGGGGAAGGATATTGCAAAATCTCCATTTCCACCCCATTCTGGGACCAGCCAGAGGTGGTATTTGCCAGTTCTCTGAACTACTCAAAAATTCCGCTACCAGTTCTCCAGAACCTGCTGGATTTCACCCCTGCTGTGAAGACTCTTTCTCCAGGTATTGGGACAGGTTGTTAATTCTGGAGTTCTGGTGTGAATGTATGTGATAAATGGGAATTAAGATTTTTTATTGAAACCCCAATTGGTTTCTTTTTAGTTTTAATAGAATTTTAGATTTTACTTTGTTCACTGCCCAGAGGTTGTTGTTTTTTAGATGGATGGGAGGTCATATATATTGGATGGATGGATAAATTCCCTATAATTTCTAGATTAGGAATATACAACGCTTCTAGTTTTTGATTGCGGAAAACAGGTTTTTTTATTTTACATCTACAGCTCCCCACTTTTATTGAGTGACTTTCATCTTTTCAGATAGTTTCTCCAATGGCTTCAAATATAGTCATATTATCATTTGATGGCTTCAGGCTTTTTAAAATTTCTTACACGTTTGAGCAAGTAATATGATTTGTAGATCAGAAGGTGTTGTCAGTTCCATTTGCTAGAACTATGATATCACATCCTTGGGGTTTTATATGCCTGATATGCATTCTGTGGAATCAATTATCTTTGGACTCATCATTTAATACTTAATAAAATTGTAGAAGGAATTCAAAGTAACTTTATATGATGTTCCACTTTAAAGAAAACATCTTGCCTTCTAGAGATCTAAAGATATCATTGTTATAGAAGACAATGGAAATGGAAATATGTTGGTTTTTGGTTTTGTACCATTTTATATAGTAGCCAGCAAAATTGATTATGCAAGTTAATATTAGTTTATGAAACCAGACTTCTTGTTAATGTTTTGTCTTGAGAAATGATTTGATTTTGATTTCTATATTTTATTTTACATACAATACATTATAATTTGTATTATACATCTTATAAAATGTTTAGCTAGAAGTGAAAAAACCCTATATTATTATCATTACCAGATAACTAAATGTGAAGCTTTTTTATTACTTAGGGGAGAGCACACCAAGGAACTCACTGGGAAAGATGGCTGTGAAGAAAGAAAAATGGAAAATGAAGTATTATCTATAAATGAAACCAAAGGTAGCTGTTATTTCATGCTATATGTGCTGTACAAGAGTTTCACTAGTGACATAAATTAATAATTTTAATTGGCTTTATGGAATAATTTAATTTTTTTTCATTTATTTAGATTTATATGCCGCCCTTCTCCGGAGACTCAGGGCGGCTTACAATGCGCTAAGCAATAGCCTTCATTCTTTTGTATATTTATACAAAGTCAGCTTATTGCCCCCACAACTGGGTCCTCAATTTACCTACCTTAGAAAGGATGGAAAGGCTGAGTCAATCTTGAGCCTTGGCGAGATTCGAACCTGCAGTAATTGCAGGCAGCTGGTCTTAATAACCAGCTTAATAACAGGGTGCCTTAGACCACTGTACTACCAAGGCTCTTAATGAAGGATGCTTAATGAAGCATTTTATGAAAAATCAGAACCACACAAGGTTGCCTTCATAAGACTGTTTGGTTTTAGACTACCTTTAGGGGGTTCAGGCAATGTCCCTCTGAATTCTCCTACGGAGTTCACAATGGTAAAAAAAAAAAATCAAGATATAAGTAAACATAGAAATAATGATTAATACTAAGTGACTAAAGGTGGAATTTACTTACTTATTTTTTATTTTAAGACGTAGGATTATTTTAAATCCCAGGGTGGTGAAATCTGAATCAGTTTACTACCAATTTGCTGGCCGTGCATGTGTGCGCACATGCGTAATGCGCACCAAACGAGAGAAACGGTTGTAAAAAAATGCTAAAAAAGTAAAAAAAAAAAAAAAGTTCTGACGATCGCATGTCGCTCAGCTGATCGTCAGAACTTTTTTTTTTTTTAACGTTTTTTACTACCAGTTCGACGAACCAGTAGCATTTTTTACTACCGGTTCAGGCAAACCGGCCCGTACCAGTAGCATTTCACCCCTGCAGGGGACTCTAGGCAGTTTACAAAATACAGACATGCTGACAAAGTGGATGTCATCGTCATCTTTATTATCATCAAATTAGTAATTGTAGACAAAGAAAGAATGCAGAATTCAGCCTGTAAAAATGGAAGGAAAAGCAGTCTCACATAGACGAAAGTAGAGGTAAAGCTTTCATTTGTGTTAGGTGAGTTGTGAGTGACCAGCTATAAGTTGCAGTGAATTGTTCAGCCAGGACTAGTGTATGGTGGGTTTGTGAAACTGGCATTTATGGACAACCATAAAAAGGAGATAAATTGAAGAAAATATTATACTGGAGTGCCCAGTGAGAGATTCCAGGTTTAGGGTTAAAAAAAAAACAACCAGTGACCATCACAGCATTTATATAGCTGCCCATCTTATAACAAATTCTGGGTGGCTTCAGAACAAAAATTAAAACAACACAAAAGCCATATTAAAACTATTAAAACAAAAACAAAATCCTGGCACCAAGTCAAGCTTCAAATGTGCAGTCCCTTCATCCCAGTGTTTGTGGGTCCGCCCCGGATCCTTAATGCTTTACAGAAGACTAGGAGGGTAGATCTTCAGGAGGCAAAGTGTTCCATAGCGCAGGGGCTACCAAATGAAAAGACACACTTCCTAGTTCCCATAAGATGGCAATATTTAAGGGAAGGAACTAGGAGCATCCCACCTACCATTGGGAGCTGAAGCAATGATATAGTTTTTAAAAAATGCGGGGGGAAATTATGGCTGAACAGTTTCCATTGTTTTTCATGGCAGGTAAGTGCATAAGGTAGTTTAAACTGTGTTCAAGAAAATGTAGTTATGTATCTATCTCAGACATAATTAGTACAGATTAGAGTATTTCTTATACTCTATAGCAGGGGTCTGCAATAGGGTCTGCGGCTCTGGAGCCGCATATGATTCTTTCATCCCTCTGCTGCAGCTTCCTGTCGCTCAAAACATGTGTCAGAACCGCCAATGTGCGACACCCGCTGGCACGCGATTTATTGAGCTTTTCGACCCATTTTTTTTTTTCAGAGTTCAAAATGTGTTTGTTGCATGCAGAAATTAAAAAAATTTTTTTTTCTCTGTAGCTGTTCATTGAGTACATAAATGCAACACACTATCATTTTTTTATACATAGCATAAAGGTAAGAAACGATATATGTAGTGTTATTTTCATTTTAGATGTCAAAAGGTTTTTGTGGCTCCCGGTGTTTTCTTTTCTGTGGGAAACAGGTTCAAATGGCTCTTTGAGTGTTTAAGGTTGCCGACCCCTGCTCTATAGAGTATTCATTAATTAATGCCATTTAGTAATAATAAGTCAAATGGGCCAAATATGTTATACTGAACATACCTTTCCTTTACAAGTGTGGTCATATCACGCATACAATAATAAAACTTGTGTTATTATTGCTTGCAGACAGCAAGGAAACCAATAGCAGAAGTTCCCATCTGCAGCCACTCATTTTATCTTCCAAGCTCACAATTCCTGCATTTCCATTGCGATGGGAACAGCACAGTAAGCTCCTTCCTACAGTGGCTGGGATTCCTGCCAGTAAAGTTTCTAAATGGAGCACAGATGAGGTATGACTTAAAATGGTATTTTCACTTTAAAAAACTGGAAAACTTTAATAGACTTTTTGCTAAAGAAAAAAAAACCCTGAAACAATGATTTATGGATTTAATTATTGAGACGAGTAAGAATTAAATAAGGGGATGAAGGGATTTCTGGAAGATTTAAGAGGCAGGGGAGACAGTGGGTTTGTTAATAACTTTTGAAAAGAAGGACAGAAGTCATCTATTTTAGTTTCCTTAGTTGTTTTCCTTCCTTCCTTTCCTCTTCTTCTCTTCTTTCTTGAATGTTTTTATATATTTCATAAAAAATATTTTTAAAAATGGAATTTTCATTCACCATCAGCTAATGTTGCTTGATAGAGTTCTATTAGAATAGAATATAACATAATCTATTGTGATGATATATTCATTGTATATTTCTATTTCAATTTTGCCTTTATATTTATATTAAGAGGTGATGCTATTATCTATCATAATAAAGTAGGCTAGTGAAAGTGAATACTGATCTGTTTATAGGGTATTTTTTCTACTTTTGTCGGGAGAAAGGTATTTTGTATTGTCCTTTTTATTGATTTGCTAGATTTACTTCCCACCTGTTAGTCAGCACTCAAGATAGCATACAAAGCATTCCCCCTATTTTTTTTCCATTCAGATACAGCCTAGTGAAATAGGTCAGGCTCAGAGTGAGAGAGCACATCAACTCCACTACTGACCTTCTATATCAAACTCTATTTCATTGAGAGTCGCAATAGGATTGTGTTTGACCTCGGGGTGCTGTGGTGGGTGTGGCTCTCCTTTTCCCTTTCTTCTTTCTCCTCTTCTCTCCTCTCCGCTGTTCTCCCTTCCGCTCTCTCTACTCCTTCCCCTCTCTCCTGTTATTTCCCTTTTCAGTTCAATCTAAAGTGGTATTCGAGGATGTTCTTGCTTTTCTTAAATTCCATGTTTCCACCACAGTATTTTGCAGCTTTGAATTTTCTTTTCCTGGATGTTGGCATCAGCAACTAGAGTCCTGAAGGCTTTATTCTAGCTGTTTACTAATCAACATTAAGTCTTGAAAAGATTGTCAATAATGTTTTGAGGGACGCCCAACCTGGGAGGCCATCAGTCCGCATTATCTCATCCACTTTTATTTTGTGTATCAACTTAATATTCTTGGTAAAATATAGGTTGGTCTATCATTGCTTTCTCCCATTCACTATGATTTTGCTATTATCACTGAAATGAGCCTCCCATCTCCAATATCTTCCTATATTGCTGTTACTTGATATAGGTGCCTGTTTGTCTTAGCTGGGCAGCAGAGATGACCTTCATGGCTTGACTGATCCCACTAGAACAGGGCTGTCAAACTTCTGGCCCATGGGCTGGATGTGTCACATGCTGGCCATGTCCACGCTTGGTTTATTGAAGGCGGAAAAAGTCCCAATACGCCATGTGATGCCGCTGTGACGACATGAATTTGACACCCCTGCACTAGAATTATTTACTTTTAAGATATACTCCCACTGTTCTTTGTTCATTCGTCCCAGGAATACCGCTATGCTTCAGTGAAGCAGCATAGATGGAGTGGGATGGGGCTTAGAGTCTAAATGCTAAGCAATCTTGCTTCATCAACATCAGTCAGTAAAATTGAAGAGACAGAATATATGACTTGTAGACGAAATGCTGTTACAGATAGTACAGCTACAGCTCCCCAATTATGGTTATCAGTAATGACCTACGACCATAATTGAACCCAAAATTTCTGTTACTAAGCAAAGTAGTGGTGTCCCATTTTATGAACTTTTTGCCACAAGTAAGTGAATCATGCAATCATTAAGTGAATTTGGCTTCTTCATTAACTTGGCTTGTCGAAAGCCAGCTGAGAAAGTTGCAAATGGTGATCACGTGATCCTGGGACTGTCATAAATACATGCCAGTTGCCAACCAAATCTTGATCACATGACCATGAAGATGCTGCAGTGGTCAAAAGTGACAAAACCCGCCACAAGTCACTTTTTTCAGTGCCATTGTAACTTCAAAGGGTCACTAAGGTTCCCCTCGCACATATATGCTACTTGTTCCCGACTCTAGGGAAATAGGTGGTCCCTATTTTTCTACTTCATTTTTTACGTGCTTTCGAACTGCTAGGTTGGCAGAAGCTAACCCTGGGAGCTCACCCCGTTAACGTGGCACTAGGGATTCGAACCGCTGAACTGCCAACCTTTTGATCGACAAGCTCAGCGTCTTAGCTATTGAGCCACTGTGTCCCTAAAGGGTCATTAAAAATAGTTATAAATCAAGAACTTAAAACAGGACTAAATAAGGTTGTCAGCGTTCCGAGTAACGCACCCATTGAAAGCAGAACTTTGAGGCAGGTAGATTCCTCAAAGAACATGTTTATTTGATACATCATATCAGCACAGCCGATGAAAACCAACTCTGAAAGTTCCCGCAGTTTTCACCTAATTAAAAGAGTACAAATCCCCCCTTCCAAGTGTCACTGGTCACATTGTCCAATGAATACAGCTGGCAGGCTCTGCTCCTTCAACAGCCACATGTTATGATGACTTTGGTTTCGTAACGTGGCTGAAAACAGCTAACCTTTTTGTTTTGACTGTTAGCCAGGCTGTCTACTTCCTCCCTCCCTTCCGCCTCTCAGGCTTTGTGGCAACTATAAGGCAGCACAAGATGGCTTCAGCCAGGTTCACGTTAGAGTTGACAAAGGTTAAGTGGAATATAGGGTTTAGACAGCTTGACCATTGCTGTTTATAAAATTGGAAGAAGGCATTGTACCTTTGCCTTCTTTTGAAACAAGCATTTGCTGATTTTTTTTCCCTAGTTCCTATCACTTAGAAGCAAAATGAAGAGATAGACAGTTATTCTATTATTCTTACTCCTTTATTTTGTTAAAATTGATTGGCAGGTCTCAGAGTTCATTCGGAGTTTGCCAGGTTGTGAGGAGCATGGCAAAGTATTCAAAGATGAGGTGAGTATAATAGATCAGTCCTTTGGTGATCAAGGGTTTCATATAATGTTTAATTGGCAAAAGATAACATGTCTACATTAAATCAGCCCTGTTTTAATTTCATTTCTGAAGACAGTCTCTCAGCATGGTTTTCATCAAATTGTCTTAAAACTGACTTCAGTGAAATTAAATGTGTAATTAATTTTGCCCTAGAAATTCAAGTGGAATTGTAGTTCTTTCTCGAATCAAGAAAGGCATTGTTCGATCGAATATTTAAAATGTTACTTTAAATTACGTGACAATGTTATATGCATGTGGCAATGTCTAATGCAAGTTCAAAGTTTCAGTGTGACATACATTTCAGGGAGTGTAATTATTCTTCAAAGCGAGGCGTTCAGTAAAAAGAAATTGGGCATTGATACTAACCTCCTTTTTTAATCAATTATGTCCATTTAATATATTGGGATGTTATTTACTGCATGGATAACAGACTTGTGAATTTTTAAATGTTGCTAATCTAGTTCCAGTCCAAGCAGCATGGTAAGCAGTGCTCATAATTGTATTTCAATGTTATCAGGAAAACGTCAAGTTTTCCATCCCTATTTATTGCTTGCAAAGTAATGAAAAAAAGGGGAAGACTAAACTAACCCAGTGGCTTTGATGCTACTGTGGTCTTGATTAATATAAAGAGAACGTTTAGGAAAACAAAAATATTTCTATACCACCGTAATTTAAAATACCAGGATTTCTTTAAAGGGATATAATATAATAACTTTACTATGGATACTATTTAAACCCAACTAGTGACTTATAGTTGGTATGCAGGAATTTGCATATAATCATTGTGACAGATTTCCAAAGTTACATATGAAGGCTGTGATAATCCTTTGAAAAGAGGCTTTGGAACCAACACAAATATCTCATCTTGAATTTGCTGGAAGTGATTATGTCCTTGTACACATGCAGAAGAAATTACAGACAGCTTCAGCAGCAGTGATGCAACTTTTTTGAAGACTGCGTAAAGAGCTTTGTACATCTTCCAGCATATTTCAGGACACTTCTGAAGCCTTTTCACAAACCACCTACATACAGCAAACAACATGCTTCTGGCTTGCTTCTGTATTTTAGGAGATAAATCATTCCTATTAGCTTCACATCCCTTTAATCCTTTGACACAAGTTAAAAGAAACTTGAGCTGAACAGGTGCTCAAAGAATCCTGGAATAGATTTTTGTTTTGTTTTTTCTACGAAACCCATCCTGACCTCTGTTCTTATAGCTGAATCACTTATGCTAACTAAAGAGGCAGAAGAGATGGCAGTCTTGGAGGGGAAAGTTGATAAGCACCACTGAGGAATATTTCTCATGCAATAAAAAAGGGAGAATTCAATTCACTTTTAAGATTAACAAATTTCATTTCACTATATCTGTAGTGAATAGTTTGGTCCCGTTTTAAATTATTGTTATAGAGTTGAGAGTACATTCATAACTGTGTAGAGTCATTAACATGTAGATTTTTTTTTCCTTTCAGCAAATCGATGGGGAAGCTTTTCTTCTAATGACTCAAGCAGACATTGTCAAAATAATGAGTATTAAACTGGGACCAGCCCTAAAAATCTTCAATTCCATCCTGATGTTCAAAGCTGCTGATAAAAACTCTCATAATGAACTCTGATAAAAGGTCTACAAGACAACTTCTGCACTCCAGCCAATGTTTTACCCAAAGCACAAAGATACCGAAAGATAACCTAGGATGAACATTTCAAAGGGAAAAAGTCTTAAGTGCATGAAATAAAGATATTTTCCCAAAACTAGGGCAACTGTACACTTCTGAGAAGTGCTTAAGGTTTTTAGCAAGATAAAAATTTAGTAGAGCAGGTACGTAAAGTTTGCCAACCTGGTGGTTTTAATTTTCCTACAATTAGCCACCTTAATTTAATTGGGGAACCAGTAACTACGGGAACATATTAAAATCATGGTTATATTAGCCTTTTTAAAGGAGTCACAAAATATATACTTTGTGAATTTACCCATTGGGTTTAGTTAATCTCTTTGTCCTATTTGACCATTTTCATAAGAAATTGTTAACAATTTAAAAATATTTGAGGTGCAATTAGTTAATGGAAATGGTTAACTCTTTAATTTTGCACTACACTGAAAACTGCTGTGGACTCTGGTTGGTTTATTCTAAGAAAACATTGCTGAAGATCAGTGCTGTTTTTTTTAATTATTTTTGCATGGTTAAAAGAAAAAGAAATACTTCCAGTACTGGTAGCATATTTGGTATGAAATTATTAATAAGAACTACAAAAGGTTAATGTAATTATATTTCATGTTGCATTATATTACTTTACTTCATTCTATTAAAAGAGATACAAATTAAATGTGCATATGCAGAATAAAAATCCTGCATATAAAAAAAACACCTTTTTATAAAGAATTAAATTGGTTGAACAGGAATATTAACTCAATCTAAAAATAGCAGTGAGGGAAAAGTTAAAACAGTTCTATCCAATTTGTAAAAGTTAGGTCACTTGACTTTAACATGTGCAATAGAAAACAATGTGAAACAAGATCATCAAGGGTTATATTGCATTGTTCTGTTCAGTCTTTTTTATAAATGTTGCATCTTTTATATTTTGTTCTGACTTTTTACACTTAAATTTGCATTTAAAATTGTTATGCTTCATAACTGCCAAAATGTGGAAGAACTTTTGTATGACTCATTTTTCATGCAGTTGGTTTGTATCAATATTAGTACAGTCATATTTTTTCCACTTGTCTTAGTTTTCACTGAAGGTTGTGGTGAACAGTTTGCTTCAAAGATAAGAAAAGCCAAAGCATTTAAGTGAGTTTCAGAGTTTTTGGGAAAATTGAATTCCAAAGACCAGTTGGAAGCAAGAAGACCAGCATGAGCTATGGCTCAGCTTCTCCCAAAGAACATTTACTTACACAGCGTGCACACACATATATTAAATGGACATTATATTTCTAGCGCTGCTTTTCCACACTTTCACCTGGTTTAGAAAAGCATCCGTAAACATCTGCTTACACAAATCCTGACATGACTCGCATAAATGAAAAATTATGAACGTCACCATTTTCTCAAGTCATCATTCGAGAGCATCATTTCTCTTGGCAGAGAAATAGTGGCCCTACCCCTCCTTTAGCCCATGTTGTTTACTTTGTGAGTCTGCCTGCAAGGATATGTGAATTGGTCGTAGCTTTCTCCCACCATGCTCTCTGGAAAATTCCTGGCATGAGATGATTCAGGGCAAGGAGAATAGCATGAAGATAGCCGTTTTGCCAATTTTCAGCCTACAAAAACAGGCAGCAGGTTCAGCACCCAACCTTTATCCCCCTAATTAATTTATCAACTGTGTGTGTGTATGCCTTGAGTCAGATTTCCTTGATGAGGGTGTGACATTGTCCAGATGAGGGTTATATCAGTCGGATCTGATGCTGGCTGAGTCATAACTTTTGACCACTCCCCTTGCTCCGCCCCTTTCATGCTCAGTTTAGACTCAGTCGGCCTGAGAGAAACATCTCCTACAGATCTGGCTATACAGCCCAGGTCTGTTCAATATCACAGAATTGTAAGTCCTTTTGACCACCTTTTTATTTCTATAGCTTAAAATTGTTACTTCCCCTTTAAAATTTTTTCCCCCCCTTCTATTGTAGCCTGCCGGTTTTGCTTTGCTAGAGCCTCCTAAGCTGCAGGCTTTGCTTCGCTCCTGGCGGCGGCCATTTTGAAAGCCCCATTTTAAAAGGGAACTTTTTTCCTTTTTCTTTTTCCTGTCTTTTTTGGGGGGGATTTTTTTGATCTATCCCACCAACGATTGTTTAAGGGGCCCTAGACCACAATACCACCAACAATAATAGCAATTACCTAATTTTAAGGGAAATTGCCAAATCGGGCCGCCGCCCACCCTACAGCGATCCCAAAACCGCTGATCAGCTGTAGAGCGGTTAATTGAAGCCCCGCGGCAATTTTAAAAGGAAGTTTTTTGCCGCTTTGCCACCAACGAGTCTGCAAGTTTGGGGGGGGCAGCAAGCTTCTTCTTGCCTCCCCCTGTGGCATTTCCAGCCAGTATTTTTAATTTTTTCTCTTTGTGGCTGGGGGGGCGCTGAGGAGGTCCGTTTCTAGGCTTGCCTAGACAGATACCTCCAGAGCAGAGTTTTCCTCCTGCTCAAGTGTGACCTGGCAGCCATCGTGCTTAACGCCAGAGTCGTTGCCATCTCAAATTTCAACCACGTGGTGAAACTGAAACCAAAAGCTATTTCTCCAGTCGACATCGTGGTCGCAGTGAGTATACTAAACATGGCGGATCGCTCTTCCCATGGGGAGGAAAATACTATGTACACTGGGAAGAAATCAACTTCCAAACGTAAGCACCTTTCTAAGCCTGAGGAGAAGGATTTAGCAAAGAGGCATAAATCTCTAGAAAAGCAAGCTAGTGAAGTGCCTGCAACTGAGCCTGATAAGGGGACCCCCCCCCATCTACCCCCCCTCCTCCCTTTTCAACTGTTAGCCAGGCCTGGTCTTCGGAGGGAGAGGGTAATGTTCTTCAACAAGACCAAAGCAATTTGCAAAACCCCTTTGCAAGTCAATTAATGACCCCTGCAACTCCTGTATTTGGTGGGCCTGCAGCTGCAGCTGCTTCAACAGGTGAATCCTCTATGCCTGTGCTAACCCCCGAAGATCCTTTAAAAAATGTGCCAGAAGGATTGAGAATTCTGATTGAACAGGCCATTGCTTCTAGAATGGCAGCCAATATTCATGGTCACCACTCTGGCTCTGCTATTTCAGAGCGATCTGCCCGTATTAGAATTTCTCCTGCAGTCAGTCTTACTGGCTCTCATTCTCCTGCAGCCTCCAGAGTTAGTGAAGCCTTTGTGTTTGAGGAAGAGAGACATTCTGACCTATCAGATGATGAGGGGATAATCCAAGATCAACCTGCCTTTACAGGATTATTTCCCCCCAATAAATTCAAGTCTTTATTGCATAAGGCTCGCTTAACAGCCGCCTTAAAGGAAGATGAATACTTTCAAGAGATGCAGGAGGCTCAAAAGGGTGGACTACAGGGACCTTTTTCTGAGCCCCCCCCTGAACTTTGTTATGTACCAACTCCACAACTGTTCATAGACGTGGTAAAGAAACAGTGGGCTGGGCCTGCAACCATGGCATCTGCACATGGTTCAGATAAGAAATATTATGCTGTTGCTCCAAAGTTTGCTCAACTCTTGCAAGTTCCACCTGTAGACAGTCCTGTAGCGGCCCTTTCCTCTTCTTCTTCATACGTAACTGGGGATACTTCTGAAGGTCTAAGGCCAGAAGACAAAAAATTAGAATTTCTGTTTAAAAAGAACCATCAGGCCTCGGCATGGGCAATTCAATCAGCTTCATCAGCCTCATTTTTTAATAGGACTACCATCCTTTGGCTTCAACAGTTACAGGCAAAGGTACCCCCCAGTGAGGTTCGCCTTCATCAGGATATTAATAAAATCATTGCTGCCACTCAATTTTCGGCTGATGCAACCTTGAATTCAGCCAAATTTGCATCCAGAGCCTTAGCCTCTACAGTTTCAGCCCGCAGGATGCTCTGGCTTCGCCAATGGCCTGCTGACCTTAAGGCCAAATGGCGCTTGGCTGCAGCTCCATATTCTGCAAACAGACTATTTGGGGAATCACTTGACCCTCTTCTTGTAGAGACACGGGACAAGCGAAAAATTTTGCCCTCAACATACAAACGGGCTGAAGGAAGACCCTCTCCATATTACAGAAGGCCTTCCTTTCGTTCCTACCCCCAGGGAGGCCCCTCCAGGCAGGAATATCTTCAGGGATCCTATCGATCCTCGGACCGTCAATATTTTCGGGACAGGAGCAGACAATTCCAGCCCAAACGGTCCTTTCGGGGTTCTGGTTTCCGCCAGTCCCGCAGTCGTAAGTGACTCACTACCAAATCCTCCAGTAGGGGGTCGCCTGTCCCTCTTCGCGGACAGGTGGGAAAGGTCATCTTCAGACCTTTGGGTTCTTTCAGTTGTAAAATTCGGCCTCCCCCTGGAATTTCTCTCCAGGCCTCCAACCCGCTTTCTTCAATGTCCAACTTCCAAAAGCGAATCCAGACGTCAATTAATGAACCAAGCAGTTCAGCACCTACTACAGATTCACGCCATAGAGGAGGTCCCCCACGATCAATGGAAACAGGGGTATTATTCCATCCTGTTCGTAGTTCCAAAGCGGTCAGGGGGGTGGAGAGCCATTCTGGACTTAAAAAATCTCAACTCATACATAGTGTATCGCAGATTCAAAATGTGTTCACTAACCTCTATTCTTCAAGGGATTCGTCCCAACGATTTTCTAGTTTCCATAGACCTCATGGAGGCTTATCTTCACATTCCCATCCTGCCAAAGCATCGACAGTATCTCCGATTCAGCTATGCAGGAAAGCATTTTCAATACCGGGCTCTTCCCTTCGGACTGGCATCTGCACCAAGGGTCTTCACAAAGGTCCTGGCGGTGGTGGCGGCTCACCTGAGACAACAACCGGTAAGGATCCAGGCTTACCTGGACGATATTCTGATTCAGGCTCACTCTCAAGAGCAAGCCTTACACGACCTACACCTCACGATTCAAACCCTGAACAACCATGGGTTCTTGGTCAACTACAAAAAAAGTCAGTTAGTGCCAGTCACCAGGATCACCCATCTTGGCGCCATCATAGACGCAGCCCAGGGGACCGTCTACCTAACCTTGGAACGACGGTCAGACATCAGGGACCTAGTAGCTCTCATTCGCAGAACTCCATCAGTTCCATTGGCCACTCTATCCAAGCTCTTAGGCAAGATGGTCTCCTGCGTCCAGATCGTCCCATGGGCACACCTTCACGCTCGCCACTTGCAGTGGTTCCTGCTTCCTTTTCAAAAGAAACGCCAAGCTCACACCATGTTAACAGTCAAAGTTCCACTCTCAGTCAGGCGATCGCTAGGTTGGTGGACATCGCCTTCTCTCGACAAGGGGTGTCTCTTCATGAATCACGACCGACTTGTACTCACTACAGACGCCAGCCTTCACGGATGGGGGGCTCATCTTGCATCACACGTGGCTCAGGGCCGTTGGTCTGCATCAGACCTCGCCAACCCTATCAACTGGCTGGAGCTGAAGGCCATTCGTCTCGCTCTCACGCACTTTCACCGGTTCGTGCAACACCGTCATGTTCTGGTGTTGACAGACAATATGGCGGCGAAGGCACATGTCAACCGTCAAGGGGGCACCCACTCAAAGCGCCTCATGGAGGAATCATTTCGCCTGGGCAAGTGGGCAGAACAACACCTCCTCTCCATCAGAGCGGACCACATTGCGGGGTCGGAAAACACACAGGCGGATTTCCTGAGCAGGACAGAGGTGGACAACAGCGAGTGGCAGATTCATCCCGACATATTTCATCAGATTTGCAACAGGTTCGGCATCCCAGCCATAGATCTCTTCGCCACACACCTGAACAATCAGCTTCCTCGCTTCTTCTCGAGGTTCCCGACGCCAGGGGCGGAAGGGGTCAACGCTCTCCGTCTCACCTGGCCGCCGGGTCTTCACTATGCCTTTCCACCGCTGCCTCTGATTCCGGCCCTGATTCGGAAGGTCATCGCCGACAGAGCAGAAATTATCCTCGTGGCTCCCCACTGGCCACGCCGTCCGTGGTTCGCAGACCTGGTCAGTCTCTCCACATTTCACCCTTGGAGGATTCCACCAGACGAGATTGTACTGCGTCAGGG